AAACATTACACCTCTCTGCAGGTAACTCAATTGATCGCCAACTGTGTATATCACATTATCCACAAAATTTGGTATGTCTTCCGTGAATATCGATATATTGTCTTCGTATGTGATTTGAATAAATAAAAATACATATCTAATGGCATCGACTATCAACGAGGAGATGGTCGTCGCTACAGCAACAATAATTTTCCCAGTGAAAGAAGCGATGAGAAATACATTTTGTATTGTTATAGCAATTAGATTTATCACTTTTGCAACATAAGAAATCATTGTCATGAATCATTGTAATCAAATGAGACTATTTTCTCTTAGACTCCTAATCTTATTAGATGGAGAACAGGTAATTTTATGGGGTTAAATGTCATATGTCAGTTTTTTTTTTAATTTTAACCCCTTTGGAAAAAAATTTAAGGGGTCTAGAAACTAATATATCCTTATATGTGTGTACAGGCCTCCTAATAGTGATTACAATGTTTTTGAAGGGGTGATGGAGGATATTTTAAAAAAAGTATTTAATAGTATTAAAAAAATTATTGTATGTGGAGATTTTAACGTTGATATTCTTTGTAACACACCCACATGTACAAAAATTATTAGTTTATTTCAGTCATTTGATTTATGTCATGTCTTTCATGAACCCACTCGTGTAACTGCCACGTCTGCTACTTGTCTTGACAATGTTTTTTGTAACTGCGAGTATACAGAAAAATTCATAATAAATAAACTTCCTTCAGATCACTGTGGTCAAGTTGTTAAGTTTAGCAGTCAAATCAATAAAGTCAACAATAATAAAAAATCAAAAAGACAAATAAACGTTTACAATATTAATAAATACAAAAGCGCGATTAAAAATAAATTGGATTTGCTGTTACAATCTAGTAATAATCCTGATTATCTTTACACCAAGCTAATTAATATTTTATCCGGAGAATATGAACAATTTTTCAAGAAAAAAGAAGTTCATGTTAAATCTAAATTCACGGAATGGGCAACAGTAGGAATACTTAAAAGTAGAAATATTTTGTTTGATTTATACGATCAAAAAAAATATCGATTTGATGACAAATTCACCACTTATGTAAAAAATTATTCTAAAATTTTTAAAAAGTTTGTATTATGGCTAAGTCTAATTATTTTAATAAACAAATTAAGCAGTCTTCTGACAAAATTAAAACCATCTGGAGCATTATAAATAAAGAAACTGGAAGATCTAAAATAGCCTGTAATCAATTTACATTAAATTATGATAATAAATTAATAACAACAACAAAAGATGTAGTTAATATTTTTGAAGATTTTTTTGCTAATATTCCGATTGATATTACATCTTCTCTGGACTCATCTCAATCTCGAGCAAAAAAATTACTAGAGACTAATATCGGTTGTTGTTCTTTAAGATTTAAATTTTCACATGTTAGCCCCTTTCATATCATAAAAATATTCAAACAGCTAAATTTAAAAAATACGGAAGACCTTTGGGGCATGTCTGTAAAAGTAGTTAGTTCTTTCATAGATATTGTTGCTCCATATCTAGCCACTATTTTTAATAAATGTATTGATAATGGCGTTTTTCCACATTTAATGAAATTTAGCAAATTAATCCCACTATTTAAATCAGGAGATAAATTTGAGCCAGGGAACTATAGACCTATATCTATTTTGCCAGTTCTAAGTAAGGTGTTTGAAAAGATAATGTTAAATCAAATGTTACATCACTTCAGGGTTAACGGACTGCTTCACAGTCAGCAATATGGTTTCACCGCCGGCAAGTCTACCACTGACGCAGGTGTTGCGCTAATGACACATATTTTCGAATCTTGGGAGAGGTCACAGGATGCACTCGGAGTTTTTTGTGACCTATCAAAGGCATTTGATTGTGTGGATCATAAAACGCTTTTGTACAAGCTCGAACATTATGGTATAAGAGATAATGATCTAAAATTAATGAGAACTTATTTAGAGGATAGGGTTCAAACTGTAGATATTGACGGTGTAAAATCTAAGGGAGCTAATATTAAGATGGGCGTTCCACAAGGGTCAATCTTAGGCCCCTTTCTCTTTTTAATCTACATAAATGACCTTCCCTTTATGGTAGAGAAAATTGCAGATATAGTGCTGTTTGCGGATGATACTTCGTTAGTGTTTAAAATTGGACGTCAAAGTAATCAATTAGACGATGTTAATTGTGCTATGTCTGCAATATTAAATTGGTTTACATGTAATAACCTATTATTAAATTCCAGCAAAACAAAGTGTATAAAATTTACACTTCCTAATGTAAGACTAATAAATACACAGTTATTGCTTAATGACGAAATAGTAAATTTTGTTAATGATACAGTTTTTTTAGGTATAACAGTGGACTCGAAATTACAATGGGGGCCCCATATTTCAAAATTGGCCAGTAGACTCAGTTCTGCTGCATATGCAATTAGAAGAATTAGGCAATTAACAGACGTGGCGACGGCTAAACTTGTATATTTTAGTTATTTCCATAGCATAATGTCTTATGGCATACTGCTGTGGGGTAAAGCAGCCGATATAAATACTATATTTGTTTTACAAAAGAGAGCCATACGTTCTATTTATGGTATGGGTTCAAGAGAGTCATTACGTCAGTGCTTTAAAGACTCAAATATCCTCACAGTTACTTCACAATACATTTATGAAAATATTATGTATACACGGAAGAACTTAGCGAGTTTTAAAAAACTCAAAGACTGTACAAGTAGAAACTTACGCAATATAAATAAGCTTATTTTACCTAAATGCCGTCTGCACAAAATCAGTAATTCATTCTATGGTAATTGCATAAGATTTTATAATAAACTGCCGGAATCTGCATTAAATCTGACAGAGAGGCAATTCAAATCTTATATTAAACAATTTTTATGTAAGAAAGCCTATTACAGGATAGACGAATTCATAGATGACAACATATCAAGTAAATAATTAGTTTATTAGCATACAACGTTATAATTTTATTTTCTCATTGCTTTCTTGATTTAATTGATTAATTTTAGAAATATGAAAGCGTAGCGGTTTTTTGTATTAATTGCCGCATGCATTCTTATGTAAAATGTGAATACTATAACTATCAGATGGCAATTGTGAGTAGCTTTGACGTGGTCTAATGTTTTGAGTAGTCATGCTCACTAAAATGTCCAGACTTGTGGCGGCGTGGTGGGCCGGGTCATTGGGCTCCCTAAAATATGGTCGAGCGCAGTGATGGCTGGCTCATCCGTCATACTCGTGAACGGGTGCTGCTTGTAGGGACTGGTCTGCTCTAATCACTATGACTGATTTCCTCTTATTAATTGTTTAACCAGTTGGTTATGTATTCAATTTTTTTTTTTCTTTTTGAGTATTTAATTGAATTAGTGCTAATTGGTGGTTTGTATTCACACAATTAAACTTAAAAATGTAAAATAATAATAAAATTATTTAAAAGAGCATCACGCAAGTTTCTTGCTCGTTCTTCTTGTGATGAGACAGCTTTCCGAACGAGCGGTAAATTAAAAAAAATGTAATGACTTTTCAAAAGTGCTTCAATGTAAGTTTATTTGAATAAATGATTTCTATTCTATTCTATTCTATTCTAATAATTTTACCGAGTTTTAGGCGACTAGGCTAATTCCAATCCAATTTTTGGCAAATTCCTGTCCATTTTCTTTGGCAACACTAGAGTTAGAATATAGGTATTCTGTGATATTTTTGACTGTTTTATTTTTTATTTGAAGCACAAGGCCTCTAGACAAATAGCAAACGAATTCGTCGATGGAATCGACATCGCTAGCGAGTTTGTAAGATATAATGAGATAGCAACGCCGGGTGACTCATTCCAATTCACAGACTCGCTAGCGATGTCGATTCCATCGACGAATTCGCTTGCCACTTGTCTAGAGGCCCAGATATTTACGAGATAATAAGTATATATATATATAATATCCTAAGAACAATTCTATTCCAAAATATTTGTTAATATTGTTAAGAAGAGGTCTTTGTCTAACGACAAAGTGTTCTTCTTTATCTGTGCGTTACCTAGCAACTTGTTTTGTTAATGTTCTGTTGAAACAAAAATTACTTTCACTATAAATATATGTAGTAATATTCTATCTTAAATCTGTTACATTTCCTGTCATTTAATTTGTAGTATACGAAACTCTTTACAAATACTGGTTTGTTTTTCTATTATTGACTTAAGATTGTGACATTCCTTTTCTAACTACTATTGTCTGTAATAATACCAATGTATCGTTATTTTTAGTTGAATTAAACCAATATTTCCCTATGGTCTATATCGTTTTGTATCAATTAATTCAACTAAAAATAACGATACATTGGTATTATTACAGACAATAGTAGTTAGAAAAGGAATGTCACAATCTTAAGTCAATAATAGAAAAACAAACCAGTATTTGTAAAGAGTTTCGTATACTACATTCACCCATCCTTTTTTAAAAGAACTTGATGCGTATCCATTGCCGAACATTGAATTTCTTGTATCTAAAATTGCTCAGAATAAATATTTTAGCCAAATAGACCTTAAAAGTGCTTACCATCAAGTGCCGATTCTGCAAAAGGAAAGACCTTATACAGCATTTGAAGCATGTGGTAAATTATATCAATTTACACGTATACCTTTTGGAGTTACAAATGGCGTATCAGCATTCCAAAGAACGATGCAATATATTATTGATAATGAAAATCTTACAGATACTTATGCTTACTTAGACGATGTCACTGTTTGTGGAAAGGATAAACTTACCCATGATGCTAACTTAGCCAAATTTATGACAGCAGTAGAAAAATATAAAATTACTTTAAATAAAGATAAATGCAAGTTTGGCTCTGAGTCTATTAACTTATTGGGTTATACTATAGAGAATAACACTGTAAAGCCTGATAAAGAGCGTCTTAAACCATTACTTTCTATGCCTGCACCTACAGACTTAACTTCCTTGAAGAAAATATTAGGTATGTTTGCACATTTTTCTAGATGGATAAACAATTATTCAGAGAAAATAAGTCCTTTAATAACGAATAACTCATTTCCTTTATCACATGAGGCAAGCGAATCATTTGAAAGTATCAAGAAAGATATTGCAAATGCAGCTTTGGTAGCAATTGACGACACACAAATGTTCACTGTCGAAACAGATGCTTCTGATCATGCTTTGGCAGCAACGCTTTCGCAAAATGGACGCCCTGTAGCATTTTTTTCCCGATCCTTAACAGATTCTGAAAGAAACCATTCGTCAATAGAGAAGGAAGCATCAGCGATTGTTGAAAGTCTACGTAAATGGCGTCATCATTTAATTGGAAAACATTTTCTTTTAATAACTGATCAACAATCTGTCTCTTTTATGTTCAATCAGAAGCATACAAGTAAAATTAAGAATGAAAAAATAGAGAGATGGAGACTGGAACTGTCTTGTTTTAAATTTGATATTGTCTATCGACCTGGTAGACAAAATATAGTATCAGATGCATTATCAAGAGTTTGTGCTAGTACATTTTCACGTAAAAATTTATATCAACTGCACAATACTCTATGCCATCCAGGAATCACAAGAATGGCTCATTGGGTGCGTTCTAAAAATTTGCCCTATTCTCTTGTAGAGATTAAAGACATGACTGCGAGTTGTCCTATTTGGGCCGAGATAAAACCTAGATTTGCAAATAGCAAAGGACGACTTATCAAAGCTACTTCTCCATTTGAAAGACTCAGTTTAGACTTTAAAGGGCCGTTACCTTCGAATACTGAAAATAAATATATATTAACTATTGTTGATGAATTTTCTCGTTTTCCATTTGCTTACCCGTGTAAAGACGTATCATCAGGAACTGTCATAACGTGTTTAAAGGACCTCTTCTTTACTTTTGGAACGCCTCTATATATTCATTCAGATCGTGGTGCTGGATTTATGTCACAAGAATTTAAAGATTTCCTACTAAGAAATAATATTGCTTGTAGTCGAACTACACCTTACAATCCGGAAGGAAATGGTCAAGTTGAGCGATTGAATGGGACACTGTGGAGAACCATCCAATTATCTTTAAGATCCAAGAACCTTGACATACGATATTGGGAACAGGTACTACCTCTAGCATTACATTCCATACGCTCTTTGTTATGTACTGCTACGAATGCAACTCCTCATGATAAGTTGTTATGTTTTCCCAGACGATCTGGTAATGGAATTTCTTTACCTTCGTGGTTAATGATTCCTGGCCCAATACTTTTGAAGAAAAACGTAAGAAAAAGTAAATATGATCCTCTAGTAGAAGAAGTCGAATTGCTAGAATCCAACCCAAATTATTCTTTAGTACGTTTTGCTGATGGACGAGAGGATACTGTATCTAATAGACATCTTGCCCCAATTAATAGATTAGTTGGAGATATAGCTAACACTGACGAAATTGAGAACTCCGATCGATCTCGAACCGATACAGATACCGAGAGCTACAACACCACGACTGAAACCGACAATTTGAATGCTGATGGCACTGGGCCTTCAATGGTGGTCGATTCGTCTCAGCGGCTTATTCGTGAAAGAAGACCACCCGCTTATTTAGGGGATTATGAATTATAATAACTTAGGTTTTTTAAAAAAGGATGGGTGAATGTAGTATACGAAACTCTTTACAAATGCTGGTTTGTTTTTCTATTATTGACTTAAGATTGTGACATTCCTTTTCTAACTACTATTGTCTGTAATAATACCAATGTATCGTTATTTTTAGTTGAATTAAACCAATATTTCCCTATGGTCTATATCGTTTTGTATCATAATTTCTTAAAGAATATTCTATTTGTTTCTTTAATCTGTGTATTGTGCACTTGGCCTGGATAGCTTTTTTTTAATGGATAATAATGGAATGGTAACTCTGTCTGCGCTAACGGTATACGCTGGCGGAGCACTAGTGAGGGATGATAGGTGAGAATGAAAAGGCAGGTCAGTTAGCCCATTGTGATGAATACACCTGGAATTCAGCCCGATGATTGCCAGGGGGACCACGTGGAGGTCGACCTGACAAGGTATATTGATAGCAATGAGACTGGTCGTTTACATTACTCACAATTCCTTTAATTAATTTACGAACCAGTTTAGTTATTATTGATACGATTAGTCTTGAAGTTTAGATTTTCATCTAATACAATACTAAGATACATTAACGAGCCAACTTTCTCAATTTGATTACAACTACAATTTGTGGAGAAATTACCACCAGAAAGGGAGTAGCCATTAGCATGAACCTTAAGAGTACACAGTGTAGGAGGACGGGATGCAGCTGTTTTATGAAACTACATGAATTGTTTTAGAAGCATTTAGTGTAAGGAGGTTGTAATTTAGCCACTCGTATACTCGCTGAAGACCAGCTTCCGTCAAGTATTATGCTTCTAAAAATTAAAGCTGTATCATCTGCGTAACATATTATGTCACAATTCTGCAGCTGGGCGTTTAAAATATCGTTAATATATAAAGTAAATAAGACAGGACTCAGTATACTTCCCTGAGGTACACCAAAGGGTACACAGTTAAGATCGCTCCTCTGATCACCTATTTTTACACATTGGTTTTTTGTGACAAATAACTGTTGAACCAGTTTAAAAGCAAAACACGAATGCCGTAACTCTTGAGTTTCCTCAGAAGCGTAGAAACCGAAACCGTATCGAATGCCTTGGCAAGGTCAAGAAAGACACCAATACAGTATTTTCCCTCATCCAGATGATCGACAACAGTATCCGCCAAAAAAAAAAAATCACAGCATCTTCAGTCCACTTACTCTGACGAAATCCGAACTGGTTGTTGTTTAAAATTTGATTTTCCTGTAGAAACCTAACTAGCCGCTTGTAAATACTCTCTAGAAGTTTGGAAAACGCAGGCAAGAGTGATATTGGACGATAATTGTTGGGATCATCTTTAGCTCCACCTTTATGTATAGGAACTATTACAGCTGTTTTCCATATCTGATCCAGATCCTAACAATATACTGCGATTAAATATTGATGCCAGCGGGTTTGTAAAAAGATTATCTCAATTCCATATTGCTATAATCTCATTACCATCTCGCTTAGCCCGACGAACGAAAGCAACTGCCGAAGGACTAGGCATCGATAGAGAATGGTCGTTGTTCTTCTCTTTACTCTGCCATTTAGGACAAACCCGAGAAACATAGCCTAAATCAGTTTCTTGGAGATTAATACCAAACCCTTAATTAAATAAATTTAAGTAATTATTACTCTATGATTAATGTAATTAAGCAGAGCTGATTTCTATGTAATATTACAAATTTTGCTGAACCTATAAAATTAATTGATGCTAATATTTAACAAACAATTCTGTTTCCCGTTAAAACGTCGTCTTTTAAAATAAAAAAATAATGATACATACACAAAATAATCATACGTACATAAATAAGTACAAACAGAACTATTTCTCTTATACGCATAATATAATACGTATATATTCTTTAGAACTGAATATGTGTATTTTTAAGATGCTGTTTGACTCGGCATAATACTTTCAACTATTGTTTGATGCGCTAAAGGGAATTTGCACTATTCGTCTGAAAAAAAAAATGGATAAAAAATTGTAGTAGAGTAAAATAATGTAACATAATATAGATATTCGTTATATGGCCTACAGGCCATGTTTTTTTTTAACATTATATTATGAATTAAGTAGAATTTTTATGCCAACTATCGATACATTGGATAAAGGCATATATAGATAGTGATACAACACTATGAATAGTATTTTTTTTATTTTCATTGTGTTGTTACTTTAAAAAGGTAACATACTTTTCAATTTTATTTTTTTTCTCTAGATTCCTTTGATATAAGATCGGTGCCAACTCTTATAATGTGTCGATTACTTGCTATGTGATTAATTTCATTTCCCGCGCATTTTTTTGTCAAATGTTTTAGTGCGTTAAATATTAACCGAAAACTTGCAAAATTTTAAATAATACTAATACAATAGGTAATAAACGAATAATCAATCAACTGGGTTGTCCTTACAAGATAAAGGTGTATATAAATTGAGTAAATTGTTTGTTAAATAGCTGTTGGACATTCGAGTGAACTGAGATTATAATGGTTGGAAAGATGAATAAGTTGTACGTTTTAAAAAGAGGTAAGGGTATAAATATATAGAAATAACGTTACTATTAGTTTTCTATTGTTCGCAAATATAAAAATCCTAATTAGGGTGGAAAATATCAATTTACACAAATATGGATAAATTCTGCAACTGCTTGTAGAAAGCTCTATCGTATTAGTTAAAATTTATATTTTGTACATTGCGGGGAAACCAGCAGGTACTCTATACAATTCCTTAGGACTGTATTAATTACCTAGGCAGTGTAAATGGATATTTCATACATTGCTTGGATGTCACAGATATTCTAGAGGTTGACAGATTGTTCTAACATTTCTTAACAATAGTTACGAGTATGAGTATAAATAAAAATAAAATAAAATAAAATAACAAACCTTATTCTGAAATACAGTTAATTTTACCCACTAAACTGTTTTTTTTTTTTTTTTTTTATATATTGGAGACTCCCCAAACTAACCTCTTTTCTAGTTATTAGATTATGTCTAGGCCATGTATATTCTCCACTATTTTTGGGCAAATTGAGATTATAGAACATGGGCCTATGTAAGTGTGGACTAGACGAAGGAACTATTCAGCACATACTACTTAAATGCTTCAGTATATTAGTCCCTCTATATAACACTCTCCCTTATAATTTTTGTTGCCCTATTAATGTCAAGTATCTATTAACTTTAGTTTTTTCTCCTTTTGTATATGTCTTAGAAAAATTTCAGTCCAAATATAATATAAAATTATAATTTCTTCTTTTAATTATCATAAATAATTTTCCTGAAAAATCCCTGGTGTAGATATTCAATGCACATGGATAAGGAAATCTTATCACATCAATGGTAAATGTGCAGTGTCTTTTCCAATGTTGATATTGGCAAAATCATTGAAGCCCCGGATGGTGCCATAACATAAAAAATATAAATAAATAAAATAATGAGGTGTTATGTGAAGAATAAATAAAAATGTTCTTTATTTATCTGTTCAATGATTTGAATGATATGATGATTTTACCTGGTATAACCATCATGTTTGTAATCAAAAGGGGATTTCCCTAACACATTATTAGTATAGTATACTAACATTGTTTAATCATAATTTATTTTTAATTCTTATCAACAATTGACTCATAATAATATTCATATATACATACATACATACATACATATATAAATTAAGTATTGTCTTATTGTTAATTTGTTATGTGGCATTATTATTAAATTGGTGGGAGCGTTATTTCTGCCTATATTAGTACTTATAGTCCTTGCTCTTATAGTTTCAACTTATTGCATAGTTATTAAATAAAGAAGTTTGTCTTTCTTTATCAGTTCCAAAACATTATATTCTAAGATAAAAGTGTTTATTTCAAAGTTTTAAAGGACTTTAAGTGATAACTGAGTGAAAACTCTGAGGTATACCTATATTATTTTTTTACCACTAAATATATACCATTTAGTCTCAAACTTATGTAGAGCTTTTACTTTGAGTATTAAACAACTAATAGAAATACCCACTTTTGTTTAAAATATGATATATGATCTTTTTCAAGTGACTTAAAAAAGAAGGAGGTTTTCAATTCAGTTGTAATTTTTTTATTTGTTATCTCATAACTTCAGTTATAAACAGATTTGGAAAATTCTTATTTTTACTTTTATGTATAATAATGTTCTAGATTTGCACAATATTAATCAGTATTTGGTTACTATTATCTTATTTAACCTAATACTGAATATTAGGTAGTATATGTTTCATTGCCGTGTAGGTACCGAGCAGGCCACCCCTTCCTTTTCAGTAAGAGGCCATCAAGGGATCTTATGTTACATGTAGCAGTGTCCCTTTTAAAACATCACTAAAATTTAAACTGCTGTTGTCAATCTGCCTGCCAATTGTGGTAACTACTGGCAAAATCCCGTTTATGGAGAAGGCTATATTCAGCAGTACACAGATAATGACTGATACAATATGTTTTGTTATAAATATAGAATTAGTACATTGAAAATATTGATTGATTTTGTAATAATACAGCTTTTTGGCTGTTACTTTGTACACATGGATTTTAGAAGTAGGAAAATCAATGAAACACCTAGATCACTTCTAGGTGGCATAATATTTGGTATATGGTCTAATATTACTATTCCTTGCAAGTATTGTATACTTAATCATGTAGGGTATTTAACTAATTATTATACTTAATTAAGTACTACCTTTCTGTAAAAAATAATATACCTATCATTTTTATGAAATTTATGTATTTATAAACTGAAACTTTTTTTATACAGAATATTTTAAACAAAGTAAAGCGCGCAAAGTTTTGCGCTAAATCCGAAACTGCCCAACTGATTTTAATAAAATTTTTGTAAATGTTTGTTTTGTTTGGGATAGGGTAGTGTTTATTCCATTGAGAAAAATAGACACAGTAGGAGATGGTAAGGCAAAACAATTTTTGCCGGGTTAGCTATTAATGTAATAAAAAAATCATATAAATATGGAAATTCACTGTAAAAACTTAATAAAATGTAATAATTTCTGATAATGAGAAATACAGTGAAAATTTAATTATCATATTTTGTTTTCAGGCGGTAGAATGGAGGAAGTTCACATTGATAAAATCACATCGAGAATCAAAAAGCTTTGTTATGGATTAAACATGGATTTTGTAGATCCAGTAAGTTTGTAAATATTGTAAAAATGATATGTTTAAAATAATATTATCATTGTAATAACTGTTGAAAATATTAAATAAAAAAAAATGCCTACTGACAGAATCGGAGACAGTTCAAAAAAGTTAATTTCCTAAATTCGTTAAATTGGATATCGATTTTGTATCCTCATTTATGCAATGCAACATGTCCACCATTGCGCCATGGAGGTTCTTTGTCTCGCTTCTATTCACTTCCAGACTGTTGTGGGGATGACTAGGGGAAAAGAAAAGACGGAAGGGAAACTAAATTAGCTAGGGGCGAGACTAGTAGATATCTTGCAGCAGCACATTATTTACTTAAGGTGTTAGCTATGTTGAACTACTAAAGTTACAAATGTAGCACATTTTCCTTTACTAACACATTTGGATCATATGGTAATTTATGAAGTCTTATAAATAGTTCAGTAAATTCTTAAAATCTAATTTAAACATTTTGAATAATTTATATTGTCTTTATTCGAGAAAGTTAGAAGAAAGGAGGACAAAATTGGAATAAGCGAAAGGAGGCCTTTGCCCTACATTTGGAATATTAATTTTTTTTTGTTCTGTAAAAAATCCAGTAAGTTTTCGTATGAAACAGGTATCTATAACACTAAAGGTCATAAGTGGCATCTATTCGGGGGTTACAACTGTGGAACTGGACAATCTTGCTGCTGAAACAGCTGCAACAATGACGACTAAACATCCTGATTATGCAATATTAGCAGCAAGATTGGCCATATCTAATTTACACAAGGAAACTAAGAAACAATTTTCAGGTAATTTACTTTTCATTCTAAAAGTAGTTTTTTTTACCCACAACTGCGTAGGCGTGGATTTTGAAAGTAGATAACTTCTTCTATATAGCTTATCAAGATAAAATATACACTACATTTTAGTTTTAATTTAATTGAACAGTAAATATTCCTCCTCCTCTGGTTGCATTCTATTACATTTTAATTGATATCTGCAGCGAGATTTTAGGCTACTGGTGCCTTATATTCTATTTTATGGAGTATTCAAATTTGCGTCTAGCTTCTAGCGTCTAGTCGATTGCTTGGGTACCTCTGTCCCATTCGTGTTTCAACCGTGAAGCAGTTGTGTTTGCATAGCTGTGTTTTTTGAAGGGTGGGATATGAATTTACTGGGTACAGAGGAATTAGACCTGAGTCCTCTGGAATGGAAACGCATGGGAGGTGTCATGGGCGAAACAGTATACTTTGTTATGTCCATGGTACTGCTCATGTCTATGTTACCACTTTCCATCAGGTGGGCCGTCAGCTTGTTTGCCATTCTAAGTTCTATAAAAAAAAAAAAAAAAAAAAAAAAAAAAAAAAAAAAAAAAAAAACATGATGGTGAATTACTTTTTTCTTATATAAATTGAAATGGCAAACAAGCTGACAGCTCTCATGATTGAAGGTGGTCACCGTCGCCTAAAGACATGAATAGCACCATAGACAGCACAGAATACATGTGACGCCCACGTTGCCCATTATGTGTTACCATTCTTGAAAACTAATATGTTATTCCTCCATGTCACTGTTATATTCCACCCTATTATTTAGTTTTTGATTCCACCTTTTAAACCGCAACAGCCATGTAAATATAACAGTGTTCATGGTACAATTCTTCTTCTTCTTTATAAAAAATGACTTCCACCGTAGAGGCAATGGTGATTTTTTGCCAATGTCGGGGTTAGAGAAGACTCCGTGTAATTTATATTATGATATTTTTCAGTAATGTAGATAAATCATTCAGTTGAGTTCTCTGGAAAGGAGGACAACACAAGATATGTTATGTACATGCAAAGGAAAAATAAATTTAATATGATATGTATATACATATGAGTGTATTATAGCAAGGACAATAAGCGGAAGGAATGAAAAAACGAGAAGTGTAAAGAGAGACATATATTTTAAATTTTTATGTTATTAGTAAATATAAATTTTGTCAGTACCTTAACCAGAGGAGAGTGGACTAAAGTAAGAAGGAATGGAATATTTACAGGACGTGGAAGGCTACGAGGCAACAAGTCATATATAAATATATTTAGTCTAATAATTATTATACATATATTTGAAATATTAACCATGTATGCTTATTCACTTTTTTGTTTGTAGATGTGATTACAGATTTGTATAATATTGTTAATCCGCATACTAATAAAAGAGCACCGATGATTTCCGATTATCATTACAATGTAGTTATGAAACACAAAGAGAGACTGGACTCTGCCATTGTCTATGACAGAGACTTTAAATATAACTACTTTGGATTCAAGACTCTAGAAAGATCATACCTGTTAAAAATAAACAACAAGGTAACTATAAAATGACAATTTTAAATTATAATAATTGTGTACTAAAGTATATCTACCGCGTTTTACCATGCCATGTGCCATGTTGCATGGTACACCTTGCAATATGGTACAGGAAATACATTACAAAACCACAGAAAAAGATATTAGAAGGTAATTTGAGGTCAATCAAATATTTAATTGTAAAGTCTATTTCAATAGAAGTTGATGAAAAACTAAGCAAGTTTTGTTGAAATTATCACATAAACACTAAACAAAATCGCTAAGAAATTGAAACTTTCCATCATTTAATCGATGTTTTATTTGTACTCCTATTGGATATCAAAGATTGTTTGTTTTTTGTCGGGTAAAATTATTTGTTTGTTTATATTTTCATTAAGATCTATTGAAAGTCAAACCTAAAAAGGTGATATTATTAAATGGGAGTAATAAAAACAATGAAAACCAGAGGGAGACTTTGTACAAAAGTCGATTGCTTGGGTATCTCTGTCCCTCTGTCGGTTTGAAGGGTGGGATATGGCGTGAATTTACTGGGTATAGAGGAGTAACATCTGAGTCCTCAGAAATGGCAACGCATGGGGGGTATCATGGGCGAAACAGTATACTCTGTTATGTCCATGGTACTGCTCATGTCTAAAGGCGACGGTTACCACTTTCCATCAGGTGGACCGTCAGCTTGTTTGCCATTCTAAGTTGTATATATAAAAAAAAAATTACTGACCAATATTCCATATTCATACATTAGATAATACTCGACCATTTTCCTCGCTAGCCACATACTTGGTACTGCTACGACTTGCGGGCAATAGTTGTCTAGCCTAAATTGTTAAACATATATTAAATACCCCCACTTGCGCTCTCGACAGCGAATGCATTAAACATTTTTGTTCATATTACGAATATAACAATATATATTTAAATTCATAAATATTTTTTTTACAATTTTAATAAAGCTATACTATTAAAAATACTGAACTAGGCTCTGAGCCGCGTAGAAAAGATTAACGGGCCGTAGATTAAGTATAACTGGATTAGACCTAAAGTCATAGTTTTAACTGCATTAAGTCGAACAGTGAGATATTCAAATTACTTTATTAGTGTCATAGAAATAAATACATACATCTAATTAAACATCTTAAACTTTTTAGGTTGCGGAAAGGCCTCAACATATGCTCATGCGTGTTGCGATAGGTATACATGGCGAAGATATAGATGATGCGATTCACACCTATAACTTGTTGTCGGAGAAATATTTCACGCATGCGAGTCCTACTCTCTTTTCGGCTGCTACACCTCGCCCTCAGTTGTCATCTTGTTTCCTTGTCGCTATGAAAGATGATAGCATTGAAGGCATATATGACACTTTAAAGCAGTGTGCTCTTATTTCTAAATCGGCTGGAGGTATTGGAGTGCACGTGCATTGTATCAGAGCCAAAGGCACCTACATTGCAGGAACTAATGGCGTCTCAAATGGCCTTGTTCCCATGTTGCGTGTTTATAACAATACAGCTAGATATGTTGATCAAGGTGGAAATAAACGGCCTGGTGCTTTTGCTATATATTTAGAGCCTTGGCACTCTGACATTTTTGAATTTCTAGATCTGAAGAAGAATCATGGAAAGGAAGAAGTGAGGGCTAGGGAACTCTTTTATGCTTTATGGATACCCGATCTGTTTATGAAAAGAGTAGAAAAGAATGAAAATTGGAGTTTGATGTGTCCTCATGATTGTCCTGGTTTAGCAGATTGCTGGGGAGAAGAGTTTGAGGCTCTATATGAAAAATATGAGGGAGAAAATCGTTATGTAAAACAAGTGAAAGCACAGGTCTTATGGAAAGCTATAATAGAAGCACAGGTAGAAACTGGAACACCATATATGCTGTATAAAGATGCTTGCAATAGAAAAAGTAATCAACAAAACTTGGGAACAATAAAATGTAGCAACCTTTGTACGGAAATTGTAGAGTATACATCAGCAGATGAAATTGCAGTTTGTAATTTGGCATCAATTGCTTTGAACATGTTTGTAAATGATGATAAAACTTATAATTTTACTAAACTCAAAGAAGTCACTAAGACAGTTACTCGGAATTTGAATAAAATAATTGATGTTAACTTTTATCCAGTTGTAGAAGCTAAAAACTCAAATATGAGGCATAGACCTATCGGAATTGGTGTGCAAGGGTTAGCAGATACATTTGTTATAATGCGGATACCATATGAAAGTGAAGCTGCCATTAAACTAAATCAACAAATATTTGAGACAATCTATTACGGAGCTTTAGAGGCAAGTTGTGAATTGGCTGAAAAATTTGGTGTTTATGAAACTTATGCGGGTTGTCCTGCAAGTCGAGGTATATTGCAATACGATATGTGGAATAAAACCCCTACAGATCTCTGGGACTGGGCAGTTTTAAAAGAAAACATTGCTAAACATGGTCTACGAAATTCTTTATTGATAGCACCCATGCCTACTGCTTCAACAGCTCAAATTCTTGGTAACAATGAATCATTTGAACCATTTACATCAAATATTTACCAAAGAAGAGTTTTGTCAGGTGAATTTCAAGTGGTTAATCATCACTTGTTAAACGATTTGACAGAAGCAGAGTTGTGGGATGAAGATATGAAGAATCTCATTATTCACAATAATGGTTCTATTCAAAATATTGAAACAATTCCCAAGGATTTAAGAGATTTGTACAAAACTGTATGGGAGATTTCTGTGAAAACTACTATACAAATGGCTGCAGACAGAGGTGCATTTATAGATCAAAGTCAGTCATTCAACATTCACGTTGCTGAGCCAAACTATGGAAAATTAACATCTATTCATTTTTATGCATGGAAAATGGGTTTAAAAACTGGAATGTATTATCTACGTACGAAACCGGCTGCTAATGCTATCCAATTTACAGTAGATAAGTCGAAAGTTCGCAACAAAGTTACAAATGGCAATTCTGACACATATGATGCTAACATGGCAGCCATTACATGTTCTTTGCAAAACAAAGACGAATGTTTAAGTTGTGGATCTTAAGCAGTGTCCTTTGCAAATATATTTTAATTAGAATTCCTCCAAAACTTCTTACAAAATTGAGATATAATTGCCTAATAATTTTATCAGACAAAATCACAAACATGTTAGCTAGGATGTATGAATAATGTTTTTTTTTTATAGGTGATAATGAAATAGTAACCCCACCCGCGCTATCGGTATACACCGGCGGGGCACCAGTGACGGATGATAGATGAGAATGAAACAGGTCAGTTAGCTCATCGTGACGAATTCAACGAGAATTGTTCACGATGGTTTCCAGGGGGAACCACGTGAAGGTTGACCTGATATTGCTAGCAATGGGGCTGTCAAACTCCATTGCTAACAATCCCCCTCCCCATGTATGAATAATTTTGGCTAGGATGTTTCAAACACAATTGTATGATTGTTATTGAATAAGTAAATATGAATATAACCTGATGCAGTCTTGTGAAAAAAAGCTGGCAAATGTGCTGGTTTTTTTTATTATTTTTTTACCAGGAACTTAATACAAGAATATGTACTTAGCCATGTAATTGATTAGTATGCAAGCATTTTCAAGTAGTATAAATATAAAATTTGTCATTTTATTTTAGACCTTGTACAAAAGTCGATTGCTTGGGTACCTCTGTCCCATTCGTGTTTCAACCGTGAAGCAGTTGTGTTTGCATGGCTGTGTTTCGGTTTGAAGGGTGGGATATGGCGTGAATTTACTGGGTACAGAGGAATAACACCTGAGTCCTCAGGAATGGCAACGCATGGGGGGTATCATGGACGAAACGGTATACTCTGTTATGTCCATGGTACTGCTCATGTCTATAGGCGACGGTTACCACTTTCCATCAGGTAGACCGTCAGCTTGTTTGCCATTCTAAGTGGTATAAAAAAAAATCTTATTTTGATGCAGTGTTTTATGCTCCTTACAGCGGAATGTATCAAATTTATAATAATTTTGACAGTTAACAGTTACACTAACCAGTAATTTAGACGATAACCGACTAACCTATCTAATTTTATGTACATCATCGAAAAGTAAAAGTTTTACTGTTGTAATAATAGCATGGTAATAATTTGTTCTCACGATACTAGTGTTTATAATAAAAATATAGCCTGTGATAAAAATATGCCTGATATCACTATATAAATATAATTATATCTATATAAAAATATTGTTGGTGTAGATAAAGTAAATATTCGTATTATCATGCTATTATCATTACCGCGGCGTAATCACATTTTTTTAAAATTCATATAGAAGAACAAGACTAAAAAATTAATCACAAAATATACAGATATAATTGTGTAAACTCGAAAAATAAATTATAAATAATTACAAGTAAAATTTTCTTTATATATTACAAGTAATAGATTTTCTTTGAGGCAAATTTAACAATGTGACTGTAGCCAAAAATTATCTGTTAAATGTTAACTGTCAAAGTTAAAACATCACAATTTTTATTTTAGCTATTAATTTATCCGGTGGTAACTGATTTAACAGTTTGTTGCACATGGCTGGTAGTTTCAATTGTATATTTAGCTATAATTTAATATGTAAGTTACAATAAAATTACAATATAATAATAAATGACGCTACTATATATATATATATATATATGCCGCTGGTGTTGTGGGTGACCATGGGCGGCGGTAGTTACTTACCATCAGGTGAGTCGCATGTTCGTTTGCCACCTGTGTTGTAAATATATATATATATATATATATATATATATATATATATATATATATATATATATATATATAAAAAAATATATATATATAAAAAGAATAGCTTTTTGTATGAAAATTTATTAATATCTTGATCACAATTGTTACAATTATGATTTGATATCTAATTTTAGTAATCATTCTATTTTAATTAACTGTATTGCATCAAAGCTAAATAATGTACCTCTTCTCTAATTATATTTCAATAAAAACAAATATGCAGTTTAATTTCTATCTATAATTCTATTATACTACTTACTAGTTTTTTGTCTGCTACTTTGTGCGTTTGGATTTGAGAAGTATGAAATAGACCATTTATAGGTGGCGTATCATACATACATATCTGGGACGCTTGTCTCTCATTAGGGTAGACAGAAACAATGGAACGCCAAATGCTTCGCTATCGCTTATTCCACATTCATTAATCTTTTTATACACGCTCGCCGGTTATAGCTACTTTTAATTTGGCTCTTCTCCAGCACGTTGCGTATTTGATCGACATACTTCTGTCTAGGGCGGTTCCTACCGACATCTCCATTCATTCTTGCTCGATAAATCTCTTGTAATTCATAATTTCATCCATTTTTTCCAAAAGACCAAACCAACGCAACAATCCCTTTTCGATGTTTGTCACTACATCGTGTAGGAATATACTCTTAAGATCTATTCATGCAGTGTCCTTATAATTCCATTCTACTTAGCCAATTTATTTTAATTTTCATGGCTTTCAAATATTTAACTAACTGAAGGTGGCGAAAGTGATAAAGAAAAGTCATTGGTTATAAACTATTTTATAATTAAATTAAGTACAATTATTAATCATCATATTTGACATATATATATATATATATACATAATTTTAACTTTTCCTATAACTACGTAAAATAGGATAAATAATATCAAGAGCTTCATGTATTTCATTTCTTGTTTTACCTCCTGAAAAAAGAAATAGGTATATAAGTTGATAAAGTATAACCCGTATACTAAAAGTCATTCGATAAATATTAAGTTGCACTTTTACAAGCAGATAGTAAAACTACACACATTACTGAAAAACATAGTAATTCCGTTTTCGATGGGATAGATACATATTTTTTTTTTCTGTATCAGCGAAAGGAAAGAAGCAAGGGCCGTATGGACGCAAGTGATAGGTTGTATGATATATGTCTATTCCAATGATAAAAAATAATAGTATTCCTTATTAAGAACGTTAATAATACCTTTAGATTAACGAATTGTGGCAGTGGTAATTATCTTTCAATTATCATGCTGCAATGCAAGAAACTTAAAACTTGTTATAATCGTGTCGAATTTCTCTATTTAATGTACAAATTGTAATCACATTTCCAATAACTTTATTTATGTTTTGATACATATTATGTACGATGTCATGAATATTGCAATAATATTTTGCGCAAAGATCCCTAAATCCCTGAATGTGCCCCTTCGATCAGTGATGGACTTTTTCCAAAATTATTTTATACACAAATTTAAGGCTGCAATTTGTTCCATTTTTATTTTATGACGAAATTAGTTTAAATGGAGTAATTATTGCATGATTACGTTATTAATTCGCTATCAGAGCACTTTTTAAATAATAAATTAAAAACATTGAAAATAATATGAAATTTTTTTGGAAATTGACAGATAATTGTGACGTTGCAATAAGCGCTCTTAAAGAATATTGAATAAAGTTAATGTGTTATTATTACATTATTTAATAACTACATATTATGTTCTTTTTTTTTTCTAAAAAGTTAGTTATCCAACCTGATCAAATTAAATATTAATAAGAAAATTTTATTCATATAAATTTCTTTAAAAAGGACGTATTAAGATTTCTGTTACAGACGTCCATAGACTACGACAACCCCGTTTACCATTAGACGGGCTGTAAGCTTGTGGGTGATCATAGTAGTACAAAAAAGAAATATAATTGTAAATATTTTATTAAGAGTTTACGGTTCATATATACATAAATATTAGGTATATTGAATTGTGTATGTGTGAATAAAAAATACTGAGATACATGTCAGGCCTAATCCGTAATATAGAAAATAACATAAATGTCCCTTGCATGATCACTTAGAGCTAGATGTATTTGTTTTGTTATGTGATCATTTAGTGTGTAATAAATAGATTAAGATAGGCTTTAAATAGATCCAATCCATTTTTCGAAATATTATTATAAAAATGCTTTGATTCGTGAATTCTTTTGAATAGGCAGTTTATACTTATATCTGGTACTGAGACTAAACACGACCATTTTTAATAAAACAAATAAAGCCCTTAAAATGTTTTAAAAAAGTAGTAGATGTTACATTATATTTTGAAACTATAGTGAGAATTTCCATCGAAAAAGTGTATGAAATGGACATCCATTTCATACACTTTTTCGATGTATTCGACTTATCGAACTGGACATGTATTTAGACTGATTTTTGAGATTTCTATGTTTCGAGTGTAAACCGTTATATCTTGATGAATTGGTTAAGATTGGCCAGTGAGGAATGATAGGTGGGAATGAAAGCAGGTCTTTTATCTCCACCTATTATTGCTCACTGGTGGCCCCCCTAGCGTATAATGATAGCGAATGCGAGGTTGCCATCCGATTATCATCTATTAAAATAAAAACTAATAAAATCTCTCAAATATTTTGTAAATATATATTGTTTGTATTTTTGACAAAATTATATTCAGAAAATTTCTATAACGAACATTAAATAATCAAATTGGTATTAATAAGTATTAATCATAATTAGTATTGAAATGACGATACCTGTAAATACTATTTTTCCATTGACAAATATCAGCAAAACCACTCTTGGGCGAACCATTCTATAGACAAGCCCTGGAAATAACTCTGGTTCATAAGATGTAAATTGTCCATGTGCTTGTTGTAGAGCTTCTAGCCTTATAGGAAATCTCAAATCAGCAGTAGCAATAAAATTTTGTATTTTGAAGTCCAGAAACTTTGCCTAAAAAAATAAATAAATATAAATAACTAAATAATATTTATAAAGTTTAAAATAAGTGGTAAATAATCATAACACTTAATATAAAATACGGGGGAAGGATAGTAATGGGAATTACTAAGAATATATCATGTCAGGTTGACCTCCACGCGGTTCCCCTAGAAACTATTCTGGTTAATTCCTGCTGAATTAGTTATTATGTCAACTGACGTGACTTCTTCCTCACCTTTTATTCTACACAAGTATCCCGCCAGTGTATACTGATAGCGCGGGCAGGGTTACCGTTCCATTTTAATTTCATAAAAGAAAATGTTGAGAAAGCAATCCACACATCTTAATATGGCAACTTTATTAGTCTATGTTTGATGTATGTAGAGTGATGTTCTCTGGTTGCTGTCTGGTAATTGTAAGAAAAGAAATATGTCGCCTCTAATACATTGTATAACTTAAAAATATTAATGAATATATAAATATGAAAAATGTGTCTAAATTTAAAAATAAATACTTTTTTAATTATTTTCAAAATAATAGTGAAAAATAATCTTACAGGAAATTTAAAAAAAATTTTCTAGCAGCGATGTAAAATCTAGTTTTCATTTTTGCTCCTGTAAAAAAATTTTACCAGACCTTTCCAGAACATGCAATTTTGAATAAATGAATGAATAATTTTTTATCTAAATTTTCAGGTTTTGTTTTTACACTAAGGCATGGAAAAGTTTTTTCAACTTAATATAATTGAAAAAAGTTCTTAGCGTGTATATATCATAAAAAATGCTAGTTGAATGACTCGATATTATGAACATTTGGATGCCAATTCATCGAACTTTGAATGCAAAAGCACGACGATTTACATTCAACTGCTTATCTCTGGAACTACTGGTCCATCAAGATCAAAGATTAACTTTATTGCATAAAAAATTCTTGATTTTTTTCGATTTTTTTTTTTTGATAATGAATTTTTAAAAAAAAAAAAATTGATAAAACAACAAAAACAAATGAAATTATTGATTTTTGAATGGATTTTGGTGAGTTTAAGGGATAAAACCTTGTTCCATTATTTTTTCCAAAATTTCAATCAATTGGTCCGGAAAAACCATTGAATGATCGCGCAGGGATTTTTATTTAAGGAACAATAGACTGTAAAATTTTCAAACCTTGTTTCTATACTGTATTATGCATGTATTAAACATATAAACCATCCACTTTTTGAATCAATGTTAGAGCTATTAAAAAAATTCTTCAAAATCTTGTTGCTTAAGTTGGAAAGATTTATGCAGATAAAGAAAGGACAGACAGCGACTTTGTTTTATACTATGTAGTGAAGTACAAACATGATATTTATTTTCATATTTTCTACACTTCAAACTATGATTATGTGGGAGACAAAAGGGGTTGTTAGCAATGGATTTTTGCCAGTCCCGATATATAAACACATTGCGAAGGCCTTTGATCGGGTGTGGCATAGAGCGCTGCTTTCAAAAATTTTTCATTTGGGTTGAAAAACGAGACTGTGCATTTGGGAAAAAAATTATTTTCAGCGTTGTTTAAGGTCGTAGTCGACGGTGCATGCTCTGATTTTTAAAACCAAAAAATGCTGAAAACGCAGAGCTTTTCAATCTCCGACTCTGTTTTTTTGCATATCAATGATTATTTTTCACAGAAATAATATTCATTGAAAATCACCCAAAAATTTCAGGAAAAATTTTATATACCCATTAGATTTTTACCGATGAGTGTATAAATATGACTAATGTGTCTAAATTTAACAATAAATACTTTTCTTAATTACTTCAAAATAATAGAAAATAACATGCTTACAGGAAATCCTAATTTTTGTATAATTCTTGCAAATTTTCTAGCAGCGATGTATGAATCATGTTCATTTCTTGCTCCTGTACATACAATTTTACCAGACCTGTAAGAATTACGGAATTTATGAATAAATGAATGAAAATTTATTTATCTACAACATTTACATACACTAAGGCTGAAAGTAATAACAACTTAATATAATATAGAAAAAAGTTCACATGTATATATCATAAAAAATGCTAGTTGAATTTCGGTCGATATCATGAACATGAAGGATGCCAATTCAGCGTAAAGTTCCTGCAGAAACAACAACGACGATTTACAGTTAGCACCTTATCACCTTGCTAGGCCCATCAAGATCAAAGATTAACATTGGGTAAAATAATACAATAAGGTAACACAAAGGTGTGCAAACCAATAGATAATCAACAAAAAAATATTAGATAAAACAACAATAACAAAAAAGCTTTGGACCTTATGTCCATCGCGGACTTTTTTGTTGACCTTTTTAAGGTGTATAATACTGTAGTACATTATTTTAATTTATCTCGCGTTGATTTGTTTCGTTTCAGCCAGCGTTTGCAATGTAAGCGCAAAAAATTTTTTATTTATGAATCACATTAGAAACAGCTAAAATTTTCCGTGTTTCTATACCGTATACGATTATACATATAAACCATCACTTGAATCACTATAGCTATTAAAAAAAATGCTTCAAAATTATTTTCATATTTTCTACTACTTCTTAACTATGATTATGTGGGAGAAAGGGGTTGTTAGCAATGGAGTTTGCCAGTCCCGATATATATACTGATAGCGCAGGCCATTATCACCCATTAAAAAAACTATGATTATGTTCTACTTAACTATTATATATGTAAAAGATACACAGATATTAAATGTGTTAATCACACTTCAATAACTGAACAGAATAGAATTCACAACTGGCACCATAATTAATTGCCTGAAATACCATGAAACATTAAGGGCTAGCTAGTGCCACTTATAATTGTCTAATTCTTACCTGAATACAAGTGCTGTAGCACGAGGTTCAAGAATTTTCATAACCACACCTCGAAACCGTGCTGGATTATACTCCGAAAATCTAGTTCTACAGTATATATCTAGTAATTCCAATTCACATCCTAAACTTACTGTAGAAACACAATTTCTGAAATAATAACAATATTGTTGTACATTTTTTGATACTAATTATTTTTTATCTACTGCTAATGGCAAACAAATTAAAGGTGCTCATTTAATGGAAAATGGTACCCATTTGCTTATACACATGAACAGTACTATGGACATTACAAAGTATTTGTGATGCCAATGATACCCATCATGGGTTGCTATACCTAAGATCTCAAACAAAAACACTGCTATGCAAGCTTATCTGTTACATGGCAGAAAAACTAGTGCCTAAACAGACATCTTTTATACAGTCACTCTCTGGTAAAAATCTATACATTACATATTATTTCTTTAGAAAATGTAATAAAAAGACTGATTCAAGTTTGTTTACTAATTGTGTTAAGTATAGAAAAACATTATTTGAAAGAATTATCCACAATATTTTTATATAATTTTAGGATTTTTTTGGTTTTATACTTTATTAATGTTGCTGTCAATAGGGTTGATTCTAAACTGCCATCCTTTAAACTTATCTTTAAAATTATCTTGGCTGATTTGAAAATACTCAAAAAAGAATGGAAACTTTTAGAGGAAGCCTTTGCTAATAACAAGAATAAGATCTGTTAAACATATTAATCAGAAAAAGGCTAACAATAATGATAGATTGTTAAAGTCAAAATTTGATATCACACATATTTTAAGTATTAAATTTCTAATAAATTTAATACAAAATTATTATAGACTTATTTTATAATAGTTTATAAAATAGTATGTTTCTACTATCAAGATATAAATGTGAGAGATATGATTAGAGTATAGCGCCTCAGAATAGACCATCATGTTTCAAATTATTCATCTATAATACCTAATTTAAATATTTTATTCAAACTTAAAATAGTATTAACAAAATCAGTAGAGAATTGGCAAAAGATGAAAATAAAAAAATAATGCACCGATAAAACTGGTAAATTGATACCATCATCCACCTTTAAATTGCTTAAAAAAATTTAATAGAGACATTCTTTGAAACTAGAAGCTTAATTTGAACAAAATTATACATGTTTGCAAAATTACAATTGTAATCAAAGTAATAAAATAATCAATGGCATACTTTGAAGAACTTACTGCAACTTTATACTGTTCTCTGCTTGTTTTGTTCCACTAGACATAGGAGTCAATGCTGTCATAGCATTATGTGGATTTACAGTTTGGGGTGTAAAGGAATTATTTAATGGGGTGGATGGTTCTCCATTTAATTGTGATCGGGTAGCCGAAGATACTTGAATTGCTGGTGTCAAAGTGGATTCATTATGATTATTATGAACTGGTGTATGAAGAACAGTGGCTCTGGGATTACTTGATACCACAGAGTGGTTGTACACATTGTTAATGAGCGTAGCTTGATTTGGTATGGCATTTTCTTGAACTTCATTAGGCCCCATTATATGTTTAATGTATTAAGTCTGCAATGCCAGATCGAAATCTTTGTTTGAAATTGTCACCAATTGGTATAATAAAATACCAATAATAAAAATATTATTTTTGTACACTGTCAGACTGCTTGTTGGCTGTTTCTACTTGTTTAATGTATGATAAAGAAAACAATAAACCTGCATAATGTTTAAACATAATAAAGAGAAGTGACCTGCTATTAGTTTTCTAGTTACAATAAACTTAAAAAATACAATGTAAAAGTGTACTTATTCTTTATATTTTTATAATAAATAATGGAGAAATATGATGCAGTCAAATCAGAAGTAACTAGTGCTGCACAACTATACTAATCCAACTACTAATTAATCGACTGAGCACATCAATCGAATTAATGGAATGATTTTCAAATCATTCGACTAATAATTTTGTTCATCCGACTACTAATGTTAGCCGACTATTAATGTCAGCCGACTATTAATGTACTAATTTCATTCAATACTAGTCGATGATGTACTGGATGTATGAATAGATACGAATATAATCGTGTCGACCCGATCATAGGATTGTCTTTTTTTAATATTGTAAAAATTACAAATTTTTAAGTAAATTATGAAATTATTATAACGTATATCATTTTTAATGACGTAGTGATGTAGTAGTAGTGGATGCAGTCTGGAATGGACTTTGTATAGTAGCAGATACAGGGAAAGAATTTGGTTGTAACTAGAAATTCTAGTTACGAACTATTTAAACTTAGATTATAATGTATAGGTACATAGATTAGTAATACACGAGACACGAAAATATAATTACCTGTATGTTAGAGCGAGAGAAAAAATAGGATAGTAATTTGCAAAATATATGCTCGAAGCTGTTTTGGAGGAAGTATAAACATAATAATTTCTAATTATTTATACGTATTGAAGTGGAATTCGTTTTAAGTGAATGTAATTAGGGTTTCTTTTTTATATAACTTAGAATGGCAAACAAGCTGACGGTCCACCTGATGGAAAGTGGTAACCGTCGCCTATAGACATGAGCAGTACTATGGACATAACAGAATATATTATTTTGCCCATGATACCCCCCAAGCGTTGCCATTCCTGAGGACTCAAGTGTTATTCCTCTGTACCCTGCGAATTCACGCCATGTCCCACCCTTCAAATCGAAATACAGCTATGTAAACATAACTGTTAGAACAGTTATGGTTAGAACACGAATAGAACAGAGGTATCCAAGCAAACGACTTTTGTACAAAATCTCCCTCTGGTAAGTTAGAATTAAATATACTTTACCTAAATATAATATAAGTAACAGAAAAAAATACTTACAGTTTCATGTTTTAGATGTAAATATGCTGCTTGAAATATTTCAGTTATTTAAACACTATATTTAGAATCATAACAAATATTTTGTATATGAATCGACAGAGAAAATTATCATATTTAAACTAATTATTGTTCTAAAGGCTCAAGTATTCAAATTAAATTAATAACAAATTAAGTGAATATCACAAGATGTAATCTTATTTTTGTTTCAACCTTCTACCAATGACTTCTCCTATATTACGACTTAATTTGTTTTTATATCACTGAGGTGGCAAACAAGCATACAACCTACCTGATGGTAAGCTGTATGCTTCGAGAGCACACCTGCAATGCCGTTGACGTTGTGGGTGATCATGGGCGGCGGTAGTCACTTACCATCAGGTGAGCCGCATGCTCGTTTACCCCTTGTGTTGTAAAAAAAAATGTGGTTACCGGAGCCTATGAACGCTTGCAATACCAGGGGCATTTTGCGCGCGTTGCCGACTCTGAAGAAACCTCTTCATCCCCCTTTTGAAGAACCCGATGCAGATTCTGATATAAAGTAACCTTTTCATTCCTTTCATTTCCAGCGATATAATTGACATTATTAGTCTATATCGTATTGACGATATAATAAAAATACGGAAATTTTTGTCTTCTTTGATATGGCGTATCATTTTTTATTAAATTAAGAACGTTTAGTAGGTTTTTTTTTTTTTTTTTTTTTTATACCATGATGGCGTATCATTTTTTATTAAATTATGAACGTTAACGCGCGCGTTGCCGACCCTGAAGTATTTTAGAATAATTATTTTTGGATCTCTCGAAAATGTAGTATATATTCCATAATGAGTGTTCGTGGGCAAGTCAGTTGCGTTGTACGCGACCATTTAGGCTGTATGAGGGTGAACTCCCTGCCGATGGCGAGCCGTTGTCAATATATATATTGCACAATCCATATATAATAATAATGCTGAGGTGACGTATACGGAGGTCAAATTCTCATAGCTCGTCGTTGCACTGAGTCGAAGGGTTCAAGCTGGTATCAGTCGCGCCATAAGTGACAGCAAATCTTGGGGCCGGAAAAAATTAATGATCCGGCGTGTACATGCGCTCATACACACCGAGTTTTTTGGATGCCAGCTTAATCTTCAGGTGGCCACGGAACTGTACGTCACTAGAGATGTCGACACCATGGGATCCCAATGCTTTTAGAGATGTTAAGAGACTTCCCTGGATGTAACAGGCTTGGTCTTAGAGGGGTTAAATTGGACCAAGTTTTGTCGTCCCCAATCAGAGACTCCAGTTAGTGTTCTCTCGAATAATTATTTTTGGATTTCGAAAATGTAGTATATAGTACTATAGTGGGCAAGTCAGTTGGTTGGGCATATGTAGTTGTCAATATATATATTGCCACATATATTTAAATCGTATATAAAATACTTTTGACGATTGACGGCGCTAATAAATAAGAACTTCCCTGGATGTAACGGGCTGGCAACTGACCACGGCTACGTCTATGGCTGCGTCTTCCTACAATACATTATTTTTTAAATCATATAAAATACTTTTGACGATTGAAATAAATAAGAAATGACCCAATGAAAGTAAAACTGTATTAACCGGTAAAAACCCGAAAGAATTTGATATGATATTTTTTTGACAAAGAAAATCTTAAAATGAGGATTTTTATCCAAGTGGAGCAAGTTGTCATCTTCTTAATTTGTTTATTTATCGGGTTAGCATACTTATTTCTTCAAATATCAAAAAAATTTAAAACTTTGTGTTTTACGTATACATGTGAGTAGTATTTATATATTTATGTATTTGTGTAGGTGTTTATATATATGTATGTATATGAATATATATATGTATATATATTCATGGGATGGATAAAATGGTATGAATAATTTTTATTTATAATAATAGAACATTCCTTAGATCTAAATTTTATCAATTTATTTTTCATTTAATTTAACATTTTTTTTTGGTTACATACATATATATATATGAAAAAAGAAGATGACAACTTGCTCCACTTGGATAAAAATTCTCATTTTAAAACTAGGCAAACATTTTATGTTTCATATAGAAACTGGTAAACTATATATATATATATATATATATATATATATATATATATATATATATATATATATATATATATATATATATATATATATATATATGCTAACTCAGTTATTATTTGCTCTGTGATTACTTGTTCTGCGGTGTACTTAGGTAGACGTCAGAACGTCAATACTACATACTCTGTCAATGTTTTGGTAATGTGACTGAGTTGTCCTGTCACATAGTGTCTCTAATCTGTACCTGTCACTGTCTGCTCAATAGTTCTTATTATTGTTCTGACATTTAAATTTACTTGAATTAAAATACTCGGTTTGTGATTATTTTTAATCCTAATTCATCTTTATATTTTAATAATAAAAGAGGCCAGTAAATATATTTAAAATGGCTCCTAAAGCTGGAGGTGATTCTGCAAAAGTTAATTCGGCAGTGTATAAAGATAAAAGCAAACCTACAGATATTAGACTAAGTAACATAAATGCTGCTAAAGGTAGGCCAACAACTGTTCAATAAACATATAATTTACATTGTTTTTACTATTTTTCCCCCTATTACATTGTTATGTCAAAGATACATAATTGTAAATACTATGACTAAATGTTGTCGAAGTTTTATATTGCTTTATGATAGTCAAATAAATAGTTGTTTGTTTTAATTAATGTTAGGGCTTACATTTCCATTATTAATCGTTGAATTTCTTCTTTATCTTTTATTATTTTATAATCTCAAAAGTAATGTAATAATTTTTAGAAATATATATTTAAAAAAGAAATATTTTATAAGTTAAATGTCTCAAAGGGTACCCGCTGACCAACTTACCACCCCTAAGGGTATCCACAGATCCAAATTTTTATAGTTGTTATATTCATTATCACCTAAATTCTGGAATTTTTTTTGTTAAATGTCTCTTAATTAAGTACACATTTATGGTATATATTTTAGGTAAAAAAGCAAACAGCACTTTAGAAATAAATACTTACTTAAAAATAAATATTTTGTAGATTATGTTTAATCTGATAGTAATTGCTTTTTATGACATTTTCATTCCACTCTATTTTCCCATCATTGAATTGAAAGCTAAACATTTCACCTATGTAGCCAAAATTTTACTGAATATAGGTCTTTAAATAAAATAGTAAAAACAGCATATATCCTTCCTCAAAAAAGGTTGAAAGTTTGCTTCCATAAGTTTTGTTAAAATTGGTTCTATAGTTTAATTTTTTAATCAAAATAACTGGTTTTGCTACTTTACAACAAAACCCAGACTTCAGTATTTTTTTTTATTTGTGGAGTTTTTGTATTTATGTAAAACTCTCTCATCTATAGACAATACAGCATCAGGACCATTACAGAAGAATACACTATGTGCCTGTAGCATATCTCAATATGTTGTAATTTCTTAGGACTAAGATGTTTATGTTTCCATATTCTGTAATTTTCCTGTTATATATCTAATATCTGTTAACTTTGCTCAGTTATTCTCAATGACAATAAAACATTATTATGTGATTATTATTACTATGGTATTAGATTAGTACTGATTCTAATGTTTTTAAAGCCTTAGTGCATAATATAATAGAATTTGAATGTACACTATTGTTTTATATTAATATATATTTTTTAGCTGTATCTGATGCCATACGCACAAGCTTGGGTCCTCGTGGGATGGATAAAATGGTATGAATAATTTTTATTTATAATAATAGAACATCCCTTAGATCTAAATTTTTTAAATTTATTTTTCATTTAATTTAACATTTTTTTGGTTTCCTATTCTGTTATATATGTAATACTATATTTGTATGACATATAGTCATAATAATTAAAAAGTTTGACCTTAAATGTTTTGAAATAGGACGCTCAGCACATTATAATATAATATGTTCACTGGTTTTTTATTATGATTTTTTCTAATATATATAATGTTTGTTATTAAGTCAATTTGTTGCTAACTTCTGACTCTTGTTTCAGATACAAGCTTCAAATGGTGAAGTTACTATTACAAATGATGGTGCCACAATTTTAAAGCAAATGAGTGTAATTCATCCTGCAGCTAAAATGGTAATGAATCTAATTAGACTTTCTTCAAAATAAAATAAACTAATACATATGACATCAAATTAGATATTCTAAAATTTTATATGATGCTTTATTCTTTATGATATAGTTGGTTGAACTGTCTCGTGCTCAAGACATTGAGGCTGGTGATGGTACCACCTCTGTTGTGGTGATTGCTGGTGCACTACTTGATGCTTCAGAGAAACTTCTGCAAAAAGGCATTCACCCCACAGTTATATCTGATGGTTTCCAGAAGGCTTTGCAGATAGCTTTACAGGTAATGTTATTGTCATTTTATTGACTTCTTTATTACTGAGACTTGGATTAATAAAGTGATCAGCTTGGTGCAAAATGTTGTCATTATAGATAACAAACTACAAACTGTGAATAAGATTATGGATTTCCATAAATTAAACCTTGATTAGGCTTTCTCATCCCTATGTGCATAAGTTGAGATAGCACCTTATAAACATATCAAACATTTAATAAACCTATTTTTGCTAATGTTTTGTTTTTTTGCTCTACTTTAGCAATTTGTAATAGTGTCAAAACACTTAAAATAGATGTGTAGGTTTTAGTTTTTATTAACAACATTGTATTACTAAATGTATTAAAACTTTTATTTCTAAATAATATAAATAAAGTTTTTTATGGTTAATAAGGGAATGGTAACTAGTGAAGGATGACAGGTGAGGTTGAAGTCTGGCCAGATTGCCCATCTTAACAAATTCAAGAATAACCATGATGCTTGCCTTTGTGCATTATTATGTTTGTTTTGTCTATTTCAATAACCTTTTGTGTACAATAAAGAATAAAGAAAAAAAGAAACATGGTTTGTAGAAGGAAGCACAAGAAGTTCGACCTGACAGAGTATATTGCTAGTACTGGGGATGATGGTCCTCAATACTAACAATACTTTAATTACATATCACAGTGTTAATTACATAACAACAAATTCCCTATTATTTGCTATTTTAATGTGTTATTGACTCGTGTTTCAGTAATGATTATTTATTGTGATAATTGTTATCAGGTTGTTGAAGGAATGTCTACTCCAGTAGATCTTACAAACGAAGATGCTCTTCTGAAAGCTGCAGCTACATCCCTCAACTCTAAAGTTGTGTCACAACACTCTACTATTCTAGCCCCTATAGCTGTACAAGCTATTCGTGCTGGTTTGTATATAAATTAGTTACAGTTTGGTAAATAATTTACACATACAACTTAATAATATCCTTTATATAAATTATTTATAAGAATATTAGAAGAGTAAATTAATAAAGCTTTTTTGTTTGAGGCTATTTGATTGTGATGGTTGTATGTACAAATATGTATGTACATGTACAAATGTATGGTAGCTGAGCTATAAGGGGTTCATATGGTTAATTTTATTATTACTTGATTTTGTTAGGAAAAGAATAATTAACAAAAATCTATTTCCAATGAGGAAAAAGTTGTTTCATTTTTTAACTTGCTACAATTCACTGCTCTGGCTACATGAATTATAATAAAAAAAATATGCTCATAAGATAATCTAAAAAGGAAACTATGTACTAATAGGAAACATTGAAAATACAAATATGATAAATAAAACTGTAAACATAAAGCTCTTCCTTGAGCATTAACTTTTCTTATTGAAATATGGCAACGTCACAATTATGTGTCAAAATTCAAAAACAAAGTCTAAGATGCATAAAATATTTTAATTTGTCTTTTCCACTTGATCATATTAGTATATATTATTATACATATTAATTATGTATTTATAGTTAATATGTATGTATGTATCTCCAAATCATTACTGTAATGTTGTTTTGCTATTGTAGTTTTCAATGATGAGAGCATAAATGTTTTGTGTCTTTCTCACATCTACTTGTTTAAATAATGGGCTCACTTTTATAGTGATGGAGCCAATAGAGGGCGGCGTGGGCGCTCGCGTGGACCTCCGTGACGTAAAGGTAATTGAACGGATCGGTGGCACCGTGGAGGACGCTGAGCTGGTGCAAGGGCTAGTCATCCCGCACCGCGCCGCCAATGTCAATGGACCACACCGCGTCGAAAAGGCTAAAGTTGGCCTCATTCAGTTTTGCATTTCTCCTCCTAAGACTGATGTAAGTTGACCATCTTTTGTTTTATTTTTGCAAGATCCAAAATTTTTTTGCAGTATTCAAAAATAGAAACATTAAGCTTCAAATTGCTTTTTTTTTTACTTCAATATGACTATTTTTATCGCGAAAAATTTAGATTTTTCTTGAAATTTTAATTTTTTCCTTTAGTATTATTATGTGTATCTATTTTATATAATGTAAAGATTAATTGAAAGTATTAATTTGAACTAATTTTATTATGTTATAATTAGTTTTTTTTTATGGCTAATTACTGTTTTGTTGGATCTTATTTATTTAGTCATAGCTTGTTTAATATATATACTGTACTAAATAAAATATTATTCATACAGTGACAAATTATAGAATAAAAATATGTATATACAATTATTTTATTGTATAGATGGATCACAATGTGATAGTTTCCGATTATGCTGCTATGGATCGCGTGTTAAAAGAAGAACGTCAGTACATTTTGAACATTGTAAAACAAATAAAGAAAGCTGGTTGCACAGTGCTTTTAGTTCAAAAGTCTATCCTAAGGTGAGGTCCTAGCAAACAACTGTTACTATCTTACATTTAAGTAAACTCCTTTTACGATTTTAAATAATAATCTGAGAAGTGAATGTTTTAAAATTTGTTTTATAAACTAAGAAATAATTAAATAAAATAATTTAGATATTATGATATCATGCACTAAAACTTCACTACAAATAAAAAAAAAATTAACTGACACAAGGAATTCTTTTATTCCATTTTAAAATTATTTTTAAATTTAATCACAATATATTTTTTTTTTGTAGGGATGCACTTAGTGATTTAGCTATTCATTTCTTGGATAAGATTAAAACCATGGTCATAAAGGACATTGAGCGAGAAGATATTGAGTTTGTGTGCAAGACACTGGGTTGTCGACCAATTGCATCCCTTGATCATTTCACTGCTGAAAATTTGGTCAATGTTGATTTGGTTGAAGAGATCAATGAACCTGGTGGCAAATATATAAAGGTAAAGATTTGGTAAAATTTTATTCAATGACTTGTATTTATGTTTTAGTTTAAAAGTTGTTCTTTGCAGATTATAAAAGCACATGTTACAGTAGTTTAACTTAGAAACTGTGATTACTGTGAAAACTTAGATTATATAGATATACAGATAGTGTTTTTCATACAAATATTTTGCCAAAATAGGTTAACTCTTTTACTGTGTTATACACACATATGTACAGTTATTGCTCAAATAACTATATATGTGTGTATATACCTTATCTTAGGCCTATATTGATCAGTAGATAGATAACGGCTGACATGATGATGACATCTTAGTATCAGAAAAGGTAAGGTAACGTAAAAACAGGTCAAGGTAAAGGTTATAATACAAAACTTACAAATATATTTGAAATAACAGATAAATCAGTGCGTAATGATTCATAATGATGCTTAGCTCAAACTCGCTGTTCCGAAGTATCATTTAGATACACTAATAGATCTTTTATGAGAATCTGCATAAAATTTTATAATGTTATTTTGGATCAACCTTTTAATAAATTTAAATCTGTTATTAAAAAAACATTTATTGAGCAAAGCCAAATGTATAGCTTAAATGTGCATGGTGTTAGTCAATCAAACACAGGCTTTTTAATGACCAATAATTTTAGACATAGCACATTCAAATAAATGCACATAATGTTAACAGAGATTTAAAAGAGTAACTGTTGAGTTTCTTGTGGGTTCTTCTCAATAGATGACATCTTTCTGAACGCTGTATTCCTAAAAAAATATGATTTATAAGCGATCGTAAATAAGACTATTTGAATAAAAATAATTTACATTTGAATTTATTTTGCTGATTATTTTGATTTAAATTTCTATAAACAAACCTACAGGTAAACATACAGGTTAAAATACGTTTTTCATTTAAAATCATTGAAAGTGGCTGCTGTGTTATTACATTAATTTGTAAGAAATTTATGTACATTTAGATAAGAAAAAATAAGTTTCAATTCAAATAAAAAAAAATTACTTGAATTGGGATTTGATTTTTTTTTAATGCAATTACTTGTAACATTGAAAAAAAAAAAAACAGCGCGCTTTGTTTTAGTTTAACATACATATATTTGTCATCCAGTTACCCAAAATAACCTCGAATTCTTTCAAGCAGAAAGATTTTGTATAAAATAGTCTGTATGAGCAAACATCAAAGAGTTAATTTTCTCGAACGAATATGTCGTGCCCGTGTGAAGTGTGGTGTGTGACGTGTGACGTGTAATGTATAAACGTACTTGTCAGATGACGGGGTGCTCGACGGGCGGGCGCACGGTGTCGGTGGTGGTGCGCGGGTCGAGCGGCGCGGTGGTGGCGGAGGCGGGCCGCTCGCTGCACGACGCGCTGTGCGCGGTGCGCTGCGTGGCGCGGCGGCCGGCGCTGCTGGCGGGCGGCGGCGCGCCCGAGGCCGCGGCCGCCGCCGCGCTCGCGCGCGCCGCCATCGCCGCGCCCGGCGCCGACCACTACACGCTGCGCGCCTACTCCGACGCGCTCGAGGTCGTGCCCTCCACGCTCGCCGAGAACGCTGGTATGTACCATTTGCTTGGCGGAGACTCGTCCGACCTTACTTAGCTTCAATTTGATAGATTTACAGTAAAAGAATACGCGTCAACTATTTTCGCGAAATTATTCATGAATAGCACTCATTAACTTCTATATCTAAATTCTTACGAATATATTTGAAACAACATCACATTTCTTTAGTAGGTTTATCTTTCTCATGAATACCGGTACGCGCCCTCAAAGACTACAGCTGTCACTATTGTATTCCATATCCCTCCACATAGTGACGTCTCTCCACATCTTTCTTCCATTTAACACCTTTAAAAATGATTCAAAAATTCATCCAAAAATTCCAGTCACTAGCCTATTTGGCCTGCGACTAATAATATGTGGCCCTTAGTATGAAAAGCGGAGAATCATACATGTTGGAAGGCATTGGGGAAAGCCTATATCCAGCAATGGATACATAATTGCTAAAACGATGATAATTATTTTTGAAAGAATGAGATAAACAGAGCATAATGATTCGTTATGTTTATCTTTACTGATTACGTTACATCAGAGTAAAAACTTAAAAAGTGTTTTCATTATTAAATAAATGAAAATTACTGCCATTTAATTAAAATAATAATTTCTAATACAAATTTAAATAATCAACCTGATTCCCAATCAAAATATTTTTCTGTGTTGCAATTACATGCAACACGTAAAAAAAGCGCATTTTGACTTGATTTAAAAAAAAAATACGTGTCAAAATTTAGTACATCAATTTGGCTAAATTTTTACCTTTTTTAATACTTAATACTCTATCTGCAGAATCTAGACTTAAATGTTATTTTTTTCTATAATTTAACATGTGAAACTCTAGTTAAATGTATATTCATCTGGAAATTATGGTAGATAATACGAAATTAAGAGAATTAAAATGCGAGATTAGATGAACTTAATGTCGAAACTAGTTTGAAGGCACTTGTATCAATTAGGCTTTACGTAGAGTGGTTGTGGTTGCCAGGGCTGAACCCCATCGAGACGGTGACGGAGCTGCGCGCGGCGCACGCGGCGGGCGCGGGCGGCGCGGGCGCGGGCGCGGGCGTGAACGTGCGGCGCGGCCGCGTCACCGACATGCGCCACGAGCACGTGCTGCAGCCGCTGCACGTCACCGCCTCCGCGCTCGCGCTCGCCACCGAGACCGTGCGCGCCATACTCAAGATCGATGACATCGTGAGTTACTCGTGTAAATTATACGGTTTCTGGGGGTAATAATTAAAGCGCTATTTGCACTTCTCAGTGCTGGTCTATGGTTTACGCTTAATATATTAGTTTCGAAACAAACATTTCAATGTTTTGAAAAGTTAGAAATAAATATATACATATTATAGCACTTTTGAAAATCTGTCGCCTAAGAGGGTCCAGTAACAGTTGAAAATTTATATCCATAGTCCATCAATTTTTTAAGAAGAATGAAATTTACTATTTAAATTTCTCAGCAAAAAAAAAAATGTACATACTACGTAATTTTTGCAATTTAACCCTAAACAGGAGAAATGAAACGGAAACATTAGTATAAAAGCAGAAAAAATGGTCTAATCTTAAAATTTATCATTTGTGTTTTAAAGTTTTGACAATTCCATCATTCCGACAAAAGAAGGGATGGTAATTTTTTATTTACATTTTGAAGGGTTAGCAAATTTGTGTGGACATATTTACTAAAAAAACTTTATATACATACCTCTAGGTGTAAATAATGAAAAGCAAAATATAAAATGTCTCAGTAGCTTCCCCTCGGAAGGTGCAAAAAATCGTTTACATACAAACTTTACTACTATTACAGTGCTAACATGTGCAACTGCGTAGACAGATGACCGACACGTTTAAGCTACAGCATCGTAGATGCGGACTTGTATAAAATAAATTTTGGTTAAACCCATTTAGATCACTATAAAATATATTGAGTTAAACTTTAAGCATTCACTATAAGTTCAGTGCTCAATCTGAAAAAAAAGATGCCATAATATATTTTTTTGTAATTAGAATGAAATTTCATACTTTGAGAATTGTAGACATATAACCATTTATTCTTTATTCATGAGTATGCGTTTTTTTTTTTTTTTTTTTTTTTTTTTTTTTTATAGAACTTAGAATGGCAAACAAGCTGACGGCCCACCTGATGGAAAGTGGTAACCGTCGCCTATACACATGAGCAGTACCGTGGACATAACAGAGTATACTGTTTCGCCCATGATACCCCCCATGCGTTGCCATTCCTGAGGACTTAGGTGTTATTCCTCTGTACCCAGTAAATTCACGCCATATCCCACCCTTCAAACCGAAACACAGCCATGCAAACACAACTGCTTCACGGTTGAAACACGAATGGGACAGAGGTACCCAAGCAATCGACTTTTGTACAAAGTCTCCCTCTCGTATAGGCGTATTTAGGGGGTGGGGGTGGACCGTGCCCATCCCAGGTTTTTTTTATATAACTTAGAATGGCAAACAAACAAGGTTGCTAGCAGAGTTTCAGTTTTTATAGACTTGAATCTGAGAGGCCCTTTTTGGGACTAACCCCTCCCCCTGAATACTCTTAAATACGCCAATGTTTATGTGCGAGCGAGTGGTGAAGGAATTGTTAGTAATAACCACTTTATTTTCATCCATTAAATATTAGGCCGCGGGCAAGAGCTTAGTCATTTGATATATTTAGAATAACACTTGTACACTTTTACAAATTGCACGATTTATGGAAGAGTATGTAAGATCATATAAATATATGCGATACTAACTATGGTGATTTTGTTTCAGGTTAATACTGTGAACTAATAAGAAAAAACAACCATAGATTTACGTTCTTTTAGTTTATTGTTTTACTTAACATTTTATCTAATAGTATTATGATACAACATAAATGTCAGCCTATATGTGATAACAAAGTAATTGATAACTGATGCCTATTTATAAAATTTATTTTGCAATATAATTAAAATGTAATCTTACATTGAATTTAGTGCTTGGCTGACTGATAAAATTTTATTTTCTTTGAATATGTTATTAATACTAATTATTAGCTACTATTTAATGTAATTCTTTAAAATAAAAGAATTAAACAAAACCGTTTTAGTTATTAAGATATCCCACAAAAAACTGACTTCACTTTTCACTAAATTTACCCTTTAATTTTAATTAAGCGATTTCCAGAAGGCAGATCTAAATAGTTTGATTTTTTGTAAATAGGTTATATGATTCATAGTCAATTTTGAACTGATTTCTACAATTCTTTACAAATCACAAAAATATTAATTTTTGGCCCCTTTTTTCTTGCAAGGTTTTAAACTAATAGATTATATGTAAGAATTAAGCATTTTAATCTTTATCTTGAAGTAATTTGAATATTGTAAGGTATCTAAATGAAACATTGTTGTTTATAGATGTTTATATTTATGACTGAAATAGTTTTTTTTTTTGCGAGACAGAATACACTCGGCAGTACAGGACCAATAGAAATATACCAGTTTCATAGAAAACAGCTGCAATTTTTTTATTATCGTTGGTAAGGGTGTATTTGGTTGGCAGCCTTGATGTTAGTCTTGATAGCAGAAGGCGCCTTAGGCAACGCGGGCGCACTGGGCCCAAGCGGCGGCGCGGGACCGCGTGGCCCCAGCGTGGCGCCCACGCCTGGGCCCGGGCCCAGCGCGGGCATACCCGGCCGCAGACCTTTGCCCGTGCCCACCGCCGTTACCAGCGCATGCGTGTCACCGATTATGTGGGTCGGCTGCATAGCTGCACACAAATATACAGACTGACGACACTCCATTTAAGCGAGAAGGAAGAGGTGTTGTTAGTAATGGGTACTATATTATTGCTAGCGACAGCATGAAGTCGGCCTCCATGCGGTTCCTCACCTGCGATTTATTTTATCACAATATGCCAAATTATTTGCTTTTATCCTCGTCCATTACCCCTCACTGGTACCCCGCCAGCATATGCCGATAGCGCAAGTGGAGTTATCGTACTAATACAATATTTAAAAAAATATATATTTGTCTATTTTTACAAATTTGAACTGGTTTACTTGCATATTAATTTATTGACTGTTGAATTTAATTAAGATAAGACTTCAAACTTTACAAACTTAGTTTAGACCAATATGGATTTTCATACCGCAAATACTTTACGATTAATAAAAAGATTGTTAAAAGTGGTTTCAAATTAGTAAAAAATACATATTTGCATATGATACACGAAAAATGTTTTTTTTTAAGTTGATTGATAACCTTTCAAGCTACACATAAGTGGCACATTACCAAACATCTAGAGACATACTTACACTTGTATTTATTAAAATATAAAATCGAAATAATTATTATTATTACCTGCAGATCTCATTGATTCTCCTTCCCAATCTTCACGACCTTTGGATATGATTTCCCATACATGGCTTACAACCTTAGCAAATTGTGCTACTTGTTTCTGTGAATATAAATAATAATTTTGCACATTTTATATTCATATATGCTTTGGTTTTTCAGTAGAAATATATATTTAGTTGTTACATTGTATAGTGGAAATATATAAATAGAATCTAAACTATTACAATCAAATTATAACATTATTGTTGTATGTTAACAGATGAAGATATTCAAGAAAAAGCATAATTAGGAATCTTGAAGCAATAGAAGTTAATACATTTTTGGAATTTTTGTCTGCCTGTCTGTATGTTTGTTTCAGCATCACACAAAAACTATTGCATTATATTGAATGTGGTTCTTATAGTTGTGTTTCTGAAGGTCTAACTTAAAATTTGGTGTATATCTTATTATGCCATAGTAGACATCTTTCAAAATTCAATATGAAGTTACAGTCAGAAGCCAGTATTAGATAAATGGAGTAGTAAACTGTATACAATAAATTAGAGAATATTGTCATTATATTTTAAGGTTTCTTCTCTTTTAATTTAAAAGTATAAGCAACTATACCTGTGCCGTATCATAGCTAAGAGTGCTGGCTTTATGGTTGAATTGTTGAAGTCTTTGTTCTGCTTGTGGTTCAGGTTTAGTGCGCAGCAAGTCTGGTACTAAGTCGTGGGTGCATGCTGGTACACGACCTTCGGTCAGACGTACTAAAGCTTCATCTCTCTCACAACTCAATTGTAGAGGTAGAACTATGCGAGACCGTAATGATGATGCTAATTCTGCTTGCAGTATTTTACTTAAGCCAGTCAGCTAAAAAAAAAGTATATATTTGATTACTGATCTGATATATAGCAAAGTTAAAACTACACTGAACCTATTATATATTTATCCATTCATTTATTATTGGGCTCAGATTTCAATTATTTGTCACAGAATTTTTTAATTTTTCTCTTTCTGCTTTCACATCCAAGAGGATTTGACTAGGGACAAAGATTACAATGTTCTGATGGTTTTTAAAATTTAATAAATTACATAGCTTCTGGATATCAGTTTGGTCCTCTTGACTCCATTCAAAAACAAGTTATGAGAATAGTTGACAATCCCAAGCTCACAGGCCGTGTTGAGCCCTTCCTTATGTGTGTTCTACCACTTGTATAAAAGATTGTGTTCTGAGGGATTATTTGAAACGATGCTCACAGCCACCTTTTATCATTGCATCATTCGCCTTCGACAGGGAATTAATTAAATGGTCATGTACAGTGCTTCAAAGGAATTTTTTCTTGCAAACATTCAGGAACACATTGTGGAATGAGCTTTCTGCTGAGATTTTCTCTACAGATTACAGTATGGGGTTTTTGAAAGTGTATATTAAGGTTTCTTCAGGGTTGATAAGACACATGTGACACTTTTAGTGTTGCAGGTGTCCATGAGTTACAGTAACCATTTACCATCAGATGAGCTGTATTCTTGTTTGCTACCTTTATGGCATAAAAAGAAAAAGATTAAATATTCCAGTGTTTTTTTGTACTGGTTTATGTTGGGGTTTGGTTATACTAATGAAGATTTTATGATAGTTTTTTTAATCAATGAAAATCCAATATATAAAAAAATAGCAACCCTGACTGCACTATCAATATATACTGGTGGGGTGCCAGTGAGAGATGATAGGTGAGGATAAAATAGGTCTGTTGACCCATTGTGATGAATTCAATATTGCTAATAATTAGATAGATTGCATTACTGACAATCCATTTCCTCCAAAACATCTTTTCTAGAGGGGAATTAAACCCTGGTATCTTGCGTGACAGATATTTAGAGCTCATCACTATATTCTTCACCCCTAGAATATGTCATGAAATGCAATGACTTGTAGACTACAGTCTTTAGACTAAACTTGTTACAATGATTTATAATGATATGTAAGCTATAATACTGTAATCTGGAGAAGAGATTAATAATGGGGACCGTGGCCCAGCTGCTTGCAATATATCTTGACAGGTCAATCATTATCCCTGGATACCACCTCATTTAATTCTTATAAATTTGTTACAATGGGTCAACTGTCATGTATCATTTCACCTAAAATCCCTCACTGGTGCTTTATCATCTTATAAAAATAGTGCAGTCCTCAGGGATGCAATACATTAGGGTAGCATAAGTATCATAATTTTATGTTCTTTATATTGTTAATGATACTTAATAAATATATTTAAACAAATATACAGCAAATTAAAAGTACTTACATGACCAGATAGAATGGCATAATTGTCTAAAAAAGTTGGCCAGTTAATTGTTTCATGTTCTGTTTCCAATTTAGTTATCAGAGCTTGTATAGCACCCTTCAAATCATTCACTTTATTTAGAATTGCTTGTAATGTAGCCTCCAGCTGTTTTTCCTCGCGTTGTTGCATATTCATGTTCATGATGATAAAATTAATTCACAATGACACCGGTACCTAAATTTATACTAAAGTTTTATTGATGGTTTGATGGATCAAGTTAAACTTCTAGGTAGTCTAGTAGTAGAGTACCTAGACGTTTAAATAGAAGGCGAGATAGAATCAATGCAAAATTTCCTTGGGATACGATAAATGTAATTTAGATTTACCTACAACGATAATAAATAAATAAATATTTTCTATTTAAATGTCAAGACCAACAAAGATATTAGAGTAAAGAAGTAACTTATAAAAATTTGTCAAAACCATTAAGATGAAATTGCATTGGAATTCTATTCAGTATATTCTACAAACTTAAGATACTTACTCAGGTGCAAATAAAAGGAGTAAAATTATAAAAATCTAAAAAGGGGAGACGGATAATAGATTTTCTTTAATGTTTTCTCCAAAAGAATACAGTTGAAATCAGATAAATCACAAGAAATAATGTTTAGGATATCGTAAGAAATCACAGATTACATTAGAAACTGTCTAAAGGTTCATCAATTATATGACAGCTGTCAACCATAGATTAGAAAGAGATTAAGACCGTTCCAAAGATTTTATAATTCCTTGTTCTTAGGGCCTATCTAAGGTGCCATTTCTGTTAACCTAATATTATAATTTCGCAAAATTACTGTTTTGTTGTTTGATTGTTCGTAATGTGAACTAGCAATCACATTGCTAATATACAGTCTAATCTGGTGATCGACATCTCCGTGATTACCCTGGAAACCATCGTGCTGAATTCCAAGTATATTCATTGTGATGGGCTGACCTGCTCTTTCATTCTCACTTACCATCCCTCACTGGTGCTCCGCCAGTAGCTAGCATAGGCGGGGTTACCATTTCACTATCATCCATTAAAAAAAAAGTTACACTAGGGATGTATCATATATGCTTACGTAATTTTTATCGATATTAATTAACTAGCAGTCCCGCGGCCTCCTCGTCCGCGTGAATCAGTACATAAACTGTCATATATATTAAGTTAGGATATAATCTATCCGTGTTTTTGCCAAATTTCATTTAAAGTTCGCAGGGCAGGGCAAATCCATTAGGGAGTGTAGGCAACTGTTTAGGAGTCTCTCATCAGCCAAAGGCCCCACGGCCCGTTAAAAATATTTCTTTAATTGCAATTACATGTGAAAATTTATATCTAACAAACCCTCAATGAAATTTTTTTTTAAATACGTCATCATATTTCAGTACATTTTGTTATGCGTTTCAAGACATATGTTGAATACTTAAGTAGAATATTATAGCAGTTAATAACTGACTTGAAAAGAGGAGATAGGGATAGGGATTGCATCATTTTATTGAAAAATATCTACCTGATTGCATATTATATTTCTGTTTATCTACCACAAGCATTTAAATACCTTCATATATTTATGTTACATATTCATATATTATTATAATTTTCTAGGTGAGTGCAGAAGTGTTTTATATATAAAAAAGTTGAGAAAAGATAAACAGAATTACTTTTAGTTATTATTTTATTTTTTTAAATATTTATTTATTTCATTCTTTGCCCATATGAACAGAAATATGAAGAAATTATAAGTAGTGTATTATATATGGATCAAGATTATTGGTGTGTTACATAATATATTACAATATAAACACTAGCATTATTTATCATAACTTTTATAGTCAGTTCAGGCGCGGATCCAACCTGGGTGGTCACAGTCGATAATCGGCCAAGTGTCGGAGTATAAACTCGCTCATGATCAATATAGTGTATTTGTAGAGAGATGTTTATAAAATAAATGACGACCTGACCAAGATTTTGTACAGTGTATAGTTCCATGTGGGCAAAACCGACGGGTGAATACTAGTAAATTAATAGACCTGTAAAATGTCAGTTTGTATTTTGTATAGTCAAGAAAGTTACTAAAATATTATATTAAAAGCATAAAGGCATTGGATATAATATCATCAGCCTAGCTTGAATAGATCGTCATAGCCTGACATCAAAGTCTATTAGGGTTGTGGGCGTGCTTATCGTGCCTAGAACGGTGGATCCGCGCTTGAGACTGTTAAGAGGTATGTTGATGTAAACCTGTTTTTACACTCTACTTATCAATATTTATAAAGGTTACTATTATTAGGTTTACATTTTTAAATGCACATAGTAAGAGCTTTCGTTTGATAATAAATTAAAATATTACATAACATTTAGCTTACTATATTAATCACATAACATCTTTGTAGTAACTACAAATATAGCAAATTGTTTCTAAGTATTAGTAACTAGAGATTTGCCTCGGCTTTGCACAAGTAGATAGATAGAAAGATAAATTAGTATTTCACATTAAAGTTTCAAAAATTTGCCTAATCTTTAAACTTTGGGTTAAAATTTTCGGACCTCGTGAGGATGTCTATTTTTTTTTTAATAATATATAGTTTTTTGTTCATCGTTGATAATAGGTATAGCTTTTTACAGGTAAAAGAATTTTTAAAATTGGTTAAGCATATTTTTGCGATTATCCATTACAAACAAACAATCACATCTTTTCTCTTTTTGTGGTAGATTAGATTGAGGGCATGTCATACTCGTCAGTAAGGATATAGCCAGTGGCGATGAGTAGGCAAGGGAAAACTGATAACTTTAAAAATGTCAACAAATCGATTATTAAAGGTAATAAATATATATTAAAGCTTACTATGTCAATTCATTTTCGATAATTTTAAATATAATATAGCCTACAAATTTTTATTCTACGATTCAGAAGCACTCAGCGTGTGTGCTTTTTTACACTTTACTAGGAGGGGCAGCTACCTTCCCCTCCTGTCTCAACATCCGATGATTATATTCGTCAACAGAAAATACTTTTTGTCATACATTGAAAACTGGAATACTAAAAGCAATGATATATTTAATTGCAAAAGTGTCATAGTCATAGAACCTGATTTTGAGCGGCATACTCAAAAATCGTTATTTTTCGTTTGAAATTAATCCATATGAACTAGAATGTGCTGACAAATTGTAAACAAATTTAAAATTGTGAAAATTAATATCAATGCTATCTCAATAAAACAACTTATAGTTTTCGTTTAAGCAAAACTCCGCAGTTTTCGATGATCAGTTCCGCTAATTTAATATTTTGTATGTCTGATGGTGAATCAGTTGATTTTTTATCACATTGATATAATAATTTTTGAAGTACTAATATTGTGGTAGACAGTGATGGGTGAGCTGGTATTGACGTGTCCAACACCTGTAATAAAAATACACAATACTGCAATGGAATCCAAGGTGGCGGTAATCGTTGCCTGTAAATAATGTAACGTAACATTGTGACGAGCACAGCAGTCCTCATTTATTGTTCTAGTTTGTCTAGTAAAAACGTATTTCAAAAATTCCGAAGCATAATATGAAATAGATACAAAGCTATTAGTGGTAGGTTTATATGTATTGTAAACTTTGACCTGTTTTTAACTGACTTCCTAAACAAAACTACGTCATTTATAAACCGATTTGGAAAATTCATTTTTTTTTACCCGAAAACCTAGATTTTGAATGAATTAACTGATTTTGCTGTGATTAAAGTCGATTTTTTTTGTGGAACCCAATTTTAAATTATTGATACTTTATGCTCTATCAATGTAAATTAAGGACCTAATATATAGGCAGAAAAGTTATAAGATAGATATTACGTAAGAAGATAATTAGATACTTACAGTATTTTGTAAGCGTTTGTAAAGGTGCGGAGAAATAGTAACAATCCATTCTGGTTGGTTGTTAGAATGTTCTAAGCTACGTTTCAATCTCTGGATTGTTATAGCTAATATTGGTGACAAGATAACTTCAGGTTCTTTAATTGAACCCACTACATTTTCTGCCAGTAAGTCATATCCCAAATGATATAAAGCTATAACCTGAAAAGATTATAATTACATTATTACATTTTCTATGAAATAAAGGGTATGTTTTATTTACGGCTTATTCAAAGTACAGTATTTGAAAAAATTAAGAAAAATATGAAGAATGTTCTTCAATTAGATTAAACTGTAAAAATTGGAATAAAAAGGTCACGAAAAATATGTCAATTATTATATAAATCCTAAAATAATAAATTAATATAAAAAAATATGAATTTCTAAACGAATACAACACAATGGGGAATTTCACATGTATATCAATTTTTATATGTCATTTCTATGACCATTTTGACTGGGCACAGGTCCCATAAATTTTTGGCACTTCTTTTTTCTAATCTGTATTATTGATTTAAAAAATTGCAATAAATTTACTGAGCAGACAAAACATTTTTATGTATATATTATATTAACACTTATGGGAGTTAATTTATCTATTTATGGCAGTAAATATTAAGCAAAAGAAATTGGAGTCGATTTTGATGAGCCATATCAATAAACCTATCTCTTAACCTAATACTTTAATTTGAGAATTTTACGAAATTAGTATTTTATGGATCACCGTAAACTAAAATTATAATAATTTGGTCTTATATCTATTGCAATTAAGACCGAATTATTATATTGGTCCTTAAAGATTTCGCTGTGGTATTAATTTAAAATTTTAATTTTACAGGTTTAGAGAAATAACGCTTCAAAACGCGAGTAAATATATTTCAACATTGTACAATATGAAAGTGTAAATTTGTTACTCAATCACCTTTAAATAAACGAATAGATTTTAAAGAAATCTACACTAATATTATAAAGAGGAAAGATTTGTATTTTTATGTGCAATAAACTCAAATACTACTTTACTGATTTGAAAAATTCTTTACCATTAGAAAGCTACATTCATCCTGAGTAATATACTATAAAATATCTTTTGTCGCGTGCGCTGCGGAAACTATTGTTTTTTTTTATACAACTTAGAATGGCAAACAAGCTGACGGCTCACCTAATGGAAAGTGGTAACCGTCGCCTATAGACATGAGCAGTACCATGGACATAACAGAGTATACTGTTTTGCTCATGATACCCCCCATGCGTTGCCATTTCTGAGGACACAGGTGTTATTTCTCTGTAGCCTATAAATTCACGCCATATCCCACCCTTCAAACCGAAACACAGCCATGCAAACACAACTGCTCACGGTAGAAACACGAATGGGACAGAGGTACCCAAGCAATCGACTTGTACAAAGTCTCCCTCTGGTAGGATTTTTTCTGGTGATGGAATAGAAGTATGTTCTACAATATTGAAGAAAATATCAATAACTACAAAAAACTTCGTGATACTATATGCCCAATTATTAACGTTATGTCACAATAACCCCTTTTTAAAATGTTGTAAAAATATCCACCTGTGCGTAGCTTGGACGGGCCGCTAGTTTGATATAAATACACATAAGATATTAATAACATTATTCTACGAAGGAAAACCGCGAATTACACTTACCTGTTGACGTCGTACAAAATCAATATCTATATTCCAAAGATCTGAAAGTGTTGTGATGTTATCGATCCATTGTACACATTCTCCATCATTATATTGTTTAAATGGGCCATTACAATCAACAGAGGTTATGGTTTCAATAGCAGCTCTAATCAGTTTAGTGATAAATTTAAATCGTGGATTTCTTATTTTTTCTGAAGCTTTCATGTTTATTTCTCTACTTAAAACATTTCCAGTGAGAGCATCGAATATGTATTGGTAATCGATGTCATATAACATATCCAGTGGCTTCGAGAATTTTATATTGAAATGACATTGGTAATATATCGTACATGAAATTTGATAATTCAGGTTTAATATATCGCTATTAATATTTTTTACATCCTGTGCAACTTCTACTAACGAGGGCGAACTATCGTCCCAGATTTTTTCAAACTGTATTATTTGTTTTTCTTGGTTGATTGACATTGTCAAACAACTCAAAAAATTACTCAAATATTCCGTTGTAATTTCCAGAAAATTCAAGAGATTTGTGTTGCCGAAGCCAATATCTTGCAGGCATAAAGGATCTTTCGGCAATCTGCCGACTTTATTCACCAAACGGCATGTGATCTCAAAGATATGTTTAATGTATGTAGACCATATTATAGACATTAGTCCTAAACGTAAATGTAAATCGGATATATTCACCAAACATGAATTAACTGCTTTTAGTGCATTGGTATTTTGCATATTTTTTTGCCAAGCCATTGCATACTCCCAGGACATGTTAGCGATTATATAATTGGCTGATGTACTCAATGGAAACTGGCGACATAAAAGAGAAAGCCATTTAAATATTCTGGGATTGTCGTCTACGAATTTCCGATTATTTTCTAGGAATGGATAAATAGGATTGCTATCATCGTCAGGTTCTACAGTATCAGAGTTTAAAGTTTGTTTATCAATCAGTTCATTAACGACTATAGCTTCCGGAGGTACACCCATACTGCAGAGCCACTTTGCTATCAATTCAGTTACAGAACCTTTACCCCTCGTATAAATGAACTTTAGATTAATATTAAAGTCCTCAAATTGTAGTTTCGGTAATATTTCTCCATTGAAGTTCTCTTTATACACTAATATTATGCTTAGAATGGAAATATCCTCAAGTTTGCCAATAAGTATACCCCATTTAGCATTTTCTTTTGTTAAAGACTCCCATGCATCTTCATCCGAGGAATTCCTTTCAAACAATCTTCCCACAGCTTTACAAGCCATCGCAACTACCATGCTTCTCAAGGGACAGGGCATATCAACAAGTATGTCCCGAACATCTTGCCACCAGGGTGATATTTCATTATATGTCATTCCTATAGCTCTCTCTGAAACTCTGCAAATATAATACAGGACGGCTATGAACTTTTCTATCACTTCAACATTAATATCTTCCAGAGACATGTTATTTACATGCATAATTACTAATTTCAGTATTTCTTTAGGATCAAAATGACTGTCAATTATCAAATGACTTAATTTTTTTAAATCATTCATTTTAAATATTGTTTTGAAAGCATCAGAAGCTAGGTTATTTAATTTTTCGATTGATGAATCAGGTTTCAAAGAAATGTATTTAGCTTGTTTTTCTAAATTAAAACAGGAAACAAATTCTTTGAAAGTACTTGTATTACAGTCAGCAAATTTTACTTTGGCATGTTGGTGTTCTTTGTAATAGTTTTCTTGTGATAACAGCAATAATTTTTCAAGGATACAATTGTCATCTTCTAAAAGATGAAAATTAGGCATAGATGATTCTTCTGCATATGATAAATTGACTATTACATTATTTTCTTGTAATGCTGAACTGTTATTTATCTCAGTGACCAAATCTTCCATATCATCAGTTATTTCATTATGAATACGCCTATAAAACAACGTTACAAGTGTTATATTCGTAAGGTAATATTTAAGTTCTTGTTCTTTTTCATTAATATCATGATTTGGTATGCTATTCCAGAAATAATTTACGCAGGACATAATGATCTTTGGATCAATATCATAATTTCTTATCAACATTTCTATACAGTGTTTTTTTAATTCTGTTGTTTTTAGTTCTCTGGCCCTTTTAACAATTTCATCATGGTAATTATCATAATCAGTGGTTGTTTTCTTAATATAATCCCGTAGGTCTCGCAAAGTGTGTAAATCTTTAGATCTTTGCGAATGTTCTCCATCTAAGGCATAGAAAAATGGGATGTTGAACCTTTTGAGTCTACCATCGGGGTCGATCAATACGCATTGAAATTCTGGTAAATTAAGTTTTTTATGAGTATAATTTTTCTCTGCACCAACCAATCCACAAGTATTGTAAATAAGTTGGCCATTTTTGGTAGCAGTAAATACAGCCACTCGATTTCCTCTCTGCATTAATCTTATATCTATTAAACCTTTTTTAGGATTATAAATTATTAGAAATATAGCTCTTTTAATTTCTTTAACAATTGAAAGTTGAGGTTTTTTGTTATCCATATCAAATATCTGAAATAAACAGTTTTTAGTAATGAGTTTAAGTTAAAAGTATCGATATTCCTATGGGAATGTGCCTTTGTCAAAGATATATGTGTTGGGATGAACACAAAATTATTTGACGATAACGAAAAGACAACGCAAATAGCAACTAACATCGTTAAGATTTTAAAAATATTACGGAAGTGTATTATATTCAATATGATAAAGTATCGTAAGAGTTGCCATCGTAAAAAATTGTCTTATTCAACTTATATGCTTTGAGTAAACATTGGTACGCTTTATCAAAGTTTATAATTTGGATCGAATTTATTGTAGCGATCGAACAAATTGTTCGACGAGTTATCTCTGTTAAGTGGATAAAAATATCTCCTGGTGTTAACAGCAAATAATTATATTATTTCGTCTACTATCCGGTCAAAATAGAGACATAAAAATGTATTAAAAAATAATTTTAAGTGGCAGAAGGGCAATAACTTTCTCTTATAGAAAAAATCTGTATCAAACAGTAGAACATAGCGGGTTAGTTTGCTATATACACGCATCGGGTCTTCTCTTCATCATCAATCATCTCATAAATATATATGTTATAAAGTAATTAATACCTGAACAAATGCACACTGCGCATCTCTGCATCCTTTGAAAAGTCTAATCAAGTGACCTCTTTTAATGTCGAGTACCGCTACACGACCAAAGCTATCAGCGACTGCAGCGAGCCGGCGGTCTGGTGATATTACCACCGAATTACCTTGTCGTTGTGTATCGTACAGACCGTTCCGCATAGACAGAGGTTCCGATCTCACCAACGGTTCCGTACTAGCTGCAGTATTTTCTGCGTTAGCACCACCGAGCCATCCTCTGTAGGCAACATCAAGTACATTATAATATTAGACTTTAAATCTCAATAAGTATAGATTTTTTAATGAAAAGAAGAGGGAATGGTAAATCAGGCGAGGTATATTGCTAATAATGGCGTTATATTATAACCAGTCATAGCAAGATCTTGAAAAAGAATACACTTTCTTCTTCAGTAAATACGGTGATACAGAGACAGTGATGCGTACCGAATTATCGCGATGACTCATTTCAAGACAATGCCACTCACTCCCCCTCCCCGATTAAAAGGATATAAATAAGGAATTAATAATAAAAAATTTGTCATTTGCATTTTGGGTGCCGAATAGCGATTCAGTTATTTACCTGAAGATGAAACACGTGTCGTAAAACGTGCGTGAAAGAAATGGCAGTCGGAGATTTATAGGTAAAATAAAAGGAATATGGAACTTCTGGTAGTAATAGTTGTAGTGTTGGCAGTAATACACACACTTATTGTAGCGGCAATAGACAAAGTAATTTAGATAACAGTTTCAGTAAAATAGCTATGGAGCTGTTAGCTCCCATTATTAATAATTTCTTCCCCCACTATAGTTTTATTAAGGGAGAAGGTAATTAACTAAAATGTTGATTCGTATCTAGTATGAATTACATTGGGTCATCATTGACTATAAATTCAAACTTGAATGAGGTCAGTATTATTCCGAGACTAGCTAGCATAATATAAATGTTATATATATATATATATATATATATATATATATATATATATATATATAAACAAAATTTACAACATCGCTCTACCCGCTGACATCGATGCTTATTTCTGCTTTAGGTTTGCTAGAAGAGAACTCTTGTAGAGTTAAGTTCGTCTTTGTCCATTCTTAGTCCATTCTCGCGGCATCAACGCTAGCAAAACTCACACTGTCTATTCGTTGAAATTACGGCGAGAATTTTAAATATAGTAAAAATTATGCAAAAACTAAATAATATTAAAGCTTTGAGTCGTTTATTATTTTTAACATTTCTATGAACTCTTCTAACAATAGATATTTTGACAATAAAAAAAAAATTTATACCAAATTCTGTGGAATTTATCTCCACTGACTTTAATAAAAGATTCCACAAAGTAAACACACTGTTTTCTTGGCCGATACTGTATATAAAGTTACTTGTATAGGCAAAAAAAAAATTTTTTTATGGGTAGAGAGGCAAACGAGCTGACAGACTACCTGATGGTAGTGACTATGGTGCACACAAATACTTGCAACATGAAGTTGTAACTGAAGCGCAATGGGCTAGACATGTGTCTAGCAAAGATTAGACAGTCGATAAGGAAGAATGGTTCTTGAGTAGCGACCCCGTACGAGCAAACGCCTTACTGGATGGAGCGACGACCTCAAATGCTTTGCAGGGATTTAGTGGAGCACGTGGTCCAGGACCGTTCATAATGGCAGTCTATGGGGGAGGCTTATGTTCAGTAGCGGACAGTAACGGATAATACGATGATGATGAATATGAAAAGTATAAGGACATAGCGAATAAAAAATATTAGATTGTCAGTAGCTCTTAATAAATGGAAAGAGGGCATTTTTTAATTTAGTATATTAAACAAATGAATCAATTTGTTCTCTTCAAAGAGGATTTTGTCCGTTTGTCCATAAATAGTTAGAACACTTACGGTAAAGCTGATTTTATCTTGTTTGCTACTGCTCTAGCAACATCTTGAAGGGGGGGCGTTGTGCCCCCTTCGAGTGCATAATGGAAACCTAAATATGGTTTGTTGCCAGCTCCAAGGATTAATGAGTTGACTGGGGGAATGGATCTATACCTGTAAAATGAAAATGAAGAAATTGTATATCATAATAGCTTTAACTATAAAAAAAAAAAACTTTAAAGGAGGCACAGTATAAGTAGGTATATATCATAAAGAATTGTAGTCTATACTTAATTATTTATTAATTAAAAATATTGTCTCTCTATTAATAATACTCATCTATTACCCTTTATTTGTACTAACACCTACGTAATTCATTTTTATCACCCAGTATATCCAAGTGCTATAGTTAATAACCTTATACTTAAATTAACCTAGTTAATTCAAGAACTACAGTATAACTAGAATATACCATTATCTGTAACCTAATCATGGCGTTAACAAAATCAACAATCAAAACCATAAATAAAAAAAACAACAGTTTTTGTAAAATTATTGTTATTTGAAAATTTTTCAATTAAGTTTATTTTTATTATGCGTTTAAAGGTATTCAAGGTTCACTGACAATTGTCATTTAGTTCATATTTAATTATAATGTCAAACATGGATGCTTGCAAGACAGAATATACATGTTCTTACTAATATTATAAATGTGAAAGTTAGTAGTATAGCCAATAATAGTATTGGCATATTTATTTTCCAGTGGGATTAGCCCCATAAAAAAGGTGCATATTTACTCTTAGAGAAGTCTTTGCAAATCTTTGTCATATATTGTGGTGGGCACAGTCATGTTTAGATTAAATTTAAAAATATACTTACCAAGTATCATAGCCACCATAAGTTGATGCTGCTAGAAGGTGATCATATGTATTTTTCAGTTCAAGGCCCACAAGTGCAGCATCATTGATAATTTCTTGTTCCGAAAATGTCCACTTTCTAATGTTTATATTACGACTATCAATGGAGTAGTCATTAAGGATTCCAGCTTGAACTATAAATATAATATATAAGACAATAAAAATAAAACATTAAAAATAAATAAAAAATTAAAATAATATAAAAATATCCAAATTTTTTATTAATAATAATAATAGATTTATTTTCTTTTCATAATTCCTCATAGTAAAATACAATAAGACATGCTTATATTAATCGAATTATAAATTACAAGCTAGTAGTGTGTCTTTGAAATGGAATAGGTGGAATGGATTTACATATAACATTTAGCGTGGCATATTGTTTCAGAATGACGTCTGACGGCCTACCTGATGGAAGGTGGTATCCATCCCCTATAGACATGAATAGTACCATGGACATAACAGAGTATACTGTTTCACCCGTGATACTCCCTATGCGTTGTCATTTTTGAGAACTCAGGTGTTATTCCTTTGTACGCTGTAAATTCACTGTCATATCCCACCCTTTAAGCTGGGGGGACAGGGATTGTTAGTAGTGAGAACCAACAGACCCATTACTAGCAATATACTCTAACAGGTTGACCTCCATGTAGTTCCCCCAGAAAACCATTATGGTTAATTCTAATTGAATTCTTCACAATAGGCTAACTGATCTGCTTTCATCATTACCTATCATCTCTCATTGGTGCTCCACCAGTGTATACCGATAGTGCAGGCGGGTTTACCATTCTATTATCACCTATTAAAAAAAAACTTCAAATCGAAACACAACCATGCAGACACAACTGATTTTGTACAAAGTCTCCCTCTGGTAAATATTACTCGTGTTGTAAGGTTCACTATAAAATGATTGAACATTTGTTCTTATTTTAAGAAGGTTGTCTTACAGCCTATACTAGACAAGTAGAATACTAATAAGAAATACTAGATTTTTATTATTATATAATTGGTTTTTATTATTAACTTTTTTATTTTTTATTATAAATTTTTACTATATCAGCAAAAATAAATAAAACTATTAGGTAATTTAGAAATTTCGTCTTATATTATGTTTAATTACAAAAATTACATTCGCGATTTTAGCGCCATCTAATTTTTCATGTCCAATTTTGTTTAGTGACCAACCACCTTAATATAGTTATTTAGTGTTGATATCTAATTGACTTTTATTTTGATAACATAGTACAGTACTAATGTAACATTTGTTTACCTCTAGCTAATTGAGCTTTAGCATTTTTTAATGTCTGAAATAAGCTGGCTCCAGTAATAATACACTCGCAATTTTGGAACAGAATATGTACATCATCTGGTAATGTTCCATATGTTCCAGTGTGGCATGAGATCCTCATAACAGGTTTGTCATCAAGTTTTTCTAGTAGCAACAAATGGCCAGTGTTAGTATAGAAACCGACAGTGCCATTTTTAAAACCGACTATGATACAAAACCAGTCTGGGCCATTCTGAAATAATAAATTAATTCAAAATAAAGATTTTCTATAGCTAATAATCTAATATTAAACTTGAAAAAAGGTGGGGTTACAACTTTGACTATTTTGTCAGTGTATTTGTATATGGTATTGTAGCTTCCAACAAATTAATCAATTTCAGTGTTCTGTCTTAAAGATGATGAGATTATTTAAAAAGTTTAGAAAAGGTTAATTTGATTAATAACCAAATTTTTATATAATTTGCATTATTACTATTACTACAAAAAATATAGAAATTTATAAATAAAAAATTTTTAATATAGGTACTCCAATCTTACCTAGAAACTTTACTATTTATAATATTAGTAAATATCTAAGTTAACAAAATTGTAAGTCAACAATGTCTGTACTCCATGTATAAACATTAATATAAAAAAAAAATTATTAGTGTAACAATTGCTGGGAGACCAAATAAAGATAAAAAAATAAAGTTTGTAACATATAAGTAGCTGAATAGATTTTAATAAAATATTGTATATCATAACCGTAAAAAATAAGTAAAGTAGCAGGTTAAAACCAGTAATATTATAAAGTGATCCTGTGTAAAAATATTTGTTACTTAATTATAGTTAAACACATGCATTAAAAAAATTTGGTATACAGATTGACTATGGTTTTGGTTAAAATATAGAACAATTTTATCCTAATTTATGCAAACAAATTCACAGGTAAATTTAAAACTCTAGTCTTTTATGTGCATCTCAATAGTACTTTTTCAAATAAATATGTATTTTTAAGGAACTTTATTTTACAAGCAATTTATATATAATACACCATTTTGATTTTAAAAGCAAAATTGTTAACATCAATACAAAGGTACTCTATTTTATCAATAGAAGTTCCAGATGGTTGTTATTTGCACACCTGTGAAGATTGTTGTGATGGACAGATGGGTAATGCTAAGACTACAGTTATGTCTGCAGGTAGTGTTCCACTCCATACAATTAAAAATGTGTTGCTGTCTGTTGAACTTATCCACTGTGAAGTGAGCAGGCATAGACGGTTTTTGTTACCAATGGCAAGTAGGTTCCCACAGGAAGATAATGATACTGAACATTGAGATAGCCAATTTGTATCTGAAATTTAACATAATTGTTAGTTATTAAAGTAGTTGAGACTGTAAACCAGATTTCAATAATAATAGGAAAATATTTTTCAAAATTTATTCAAGTTACAATATATCATACAATAACACGATAGGCTTTTCGTCAATTGCAATTTTTTTCTATTACATTTTTATTCAGTTTTTAATGAAACCTTGTAATTAATCACTGGATTAACGAATATAAAGATTGTTTTATTGTAATATAATGAATGACCTTCCTTTTCTGGTACAAAGAGAGCTCGAGCTATACTTGAAATATCACCGCAGTCAGCGATCTGTTCGACTTCACACGACATTATTTTATGGAGAAAAGATTTAGCAGCAAAGATTTGAAATATTCATTGTTGTTATTCTTCTTTTTGTTTTAGAATACACCCACCATAATTAGTATTGAGATAGATATAAAAAATTATAAAGGTAAACAAAAACGTAGACTAACTGCGTTGTGACATATGATATCGACAGACAGAAGAATTGACATTACTATGCATGATACTATGATAAACTACTGACAGTTTTGATTATCCTTAATCTATGTTGATTGATTCCTGCGGTACTATCTGAATTTTATGGTTGATTAGAATTACTTTGTTTAATACGTTTAATACCGTTACTACATATTATAATGTAGTGATTACTTGCTCTGTGGTTACCATTAGAATGCGTGTTATTGCCAACATTTAATATTGACTACTATTATTATTATTAGCAAAGATTCTACGACCTTTCGTTTTCCTTTTAGTTATCAATCTTTGATCGTTATTTAGTCTATTTACATGTTGCGACACATGTTTCATGTCTAAGCGATGACCTCTTACCTTATATTGTGCAGTCTGGGCGCCAAGCGGACATCTCTAGTTCCAAGCCGGTACATGATATCCATTAATTGTTTGATGATGCTTCGTCTAGAGGTAAAATACATATTGCAACATGTGCGTAGACCAAATAATGGTCAGAGATTGTTGACTAATAGGGAAGGTCGTAGAACTTCTATAATATTAGTCAATTTTCAAATGTAGGCAGTCATATGTATAGGGGAGACCGAGGAGAATTGAACCAAAGGTGGGTTGAAGCGATATAAATTTCTCGGAACCTAAAAGGACTAGCAAGTTGGCAACTTTGCTAATTTTCTCTTCCCGCCACCCGCTCGGGCGCTCAGTATTCGTCCATGCGCCATGATCAACGCTTACGCCGCTATTAAATGTCAGGTGAAAAATTAATAAAAGTAAGTTTTCATTATAATAATATCTTCATCTAAATTTTTATTAATTAACTGTTTTAGCCTAAGTGTATTATGATATTTGCCAGCTTATGAATCTAAGATTTAAACTGTAATAAAGATTTTGCATGACTGTGTAGTGTAATAAAGTTATGTCCGCTCAAACCTAATGGCAGCCGATTTCTGTGCCCTGGGAGAGTTGAAACAGCCTGTTTCAACTCACCTTGTTTGCATTTTGTTATGCATTGGTATTTTGTTTTAAGTAGATTTTTCATTTGTAACGGTATGCTTTGAGCTTAGCTTAGGTTTTAGGATGCCGAACGAATACAAACGGAAGACTGACCGAGATATGGCAAGCAAAGAAATATATGAACTAACCGCTGAAGAAGTTATGTTACGTAATAAAACTCTTCATGATGCTGCCAAAAGTTATAACTTAACCCACACATTGCTTTATAGATACATTAAAAATAAAAAAAAGCCTACGAAACCAATAAAACAACCAAACTACCATCAGTTGGGTATCATAGCCCTACAGAATATAACTGCAGGATTTCTGGTAACTGGATTGTGACCGCTCAATACAGACATATTTGGCGATGACGAGTTTTTACCCAATCAAGTCACCGATCGACCGTTGCCATCATCAGTTATGCAAGAAAATTCTGTTATCCAAGGAGAAGAAACTGAACTTTAAAGTGAAGATAATCGAACTCGAAGTCCTTCGGTCATTAATGCATTGTTAAATAATTATTCAGGTTCTGAAACGGATACAAATGTAGCTGAAGTATCATCGTATCCACTTAATATTCACGATATCGTTCCTAATAATGACTTCGATGGTCCTCACACTGATAACATCAGATAGCCCCACCGTTTCAGCTTCAATCAGATCCACACTCGGTGTATTCTCTCCAGAAACAATCCGACTTTTACCGAAAGCAGTTCCTAGGAAAGGTACACAAAATAGAAAAAAGGTAAATTTTTTTTATACAACTTAGAATGGCATACAAGCTGACGGCCCACCTGATAGAAAGTGGTAACCGTCGCCTATAGACAAGAGCAATACCATGGACATAACAGAGTATACTGTTTCGTCCATGATACCCCCATGCGTTGCCATTCCTGAGGACTTAGGTGTTGTTCCTCTGTAAATTCACGCCTTATCCCACCCTTCAAACCGAAACACAGTCATACAAACACAATTGCTTCACGGTTGAAACACGAATGGGACAGAGGTACCCAAGCAATTGACTTTTGTACAGTCTCCCTCTGGTAAAAATCAGCCATATTAACTAATACGCCAGTGAAAAATGAAATAGCAGCAATTGAAGCCAAAAGAAATAGTAATAAATTAAAAAGCCATCTATTTAACCTGAAAGAAAAAACTGCGAAACCAGTGAAAAAATAGTAAAATCAGCAAAAAGAAAAGCTAAGAAAGGAAAGACAGGAAAAGCTAGTAAAATAGGAGATAGCAGCAATGATGATGACGAGCACTGCTTCTGCAGAGTTTGTGTAGAACCGTTTTATATTATATATATGGAGTGTAAGGCATGGGCGCACCTGGAATGAACTGAAGGCGAGATGTCCTATGGGTGCCATAATAATTTGTTTAACTAAGATTGTTTTATTTTTTTATTTTCTATAAATTTCAATGTTTAATTATTTGCTATTTTTTTGTTTCTAAGATCTCAATATTATAACTATGAAACTGATAGTACAAATTAAGGATAATTGTAATTTTAATATAACATTTAGGTACTTTCAAATCTGTGTTTCTTAATAATGGATTGCTTGCAGATAATAATTGTTTCAACTCTCCTAGACCAGTGTTTCAATTTATCTCAGTAAGAGGAGAGTTGATACAAAGTCACTAGTTGTCTTTAAGTCAACTTTTTATGGATAAAAAAGAAGTAGTAGCAGTTTTTATCCTAAACATTTATTAGTTAGATAAACAAGGTTTCATTTAGTATAATAAAAGATCATTTCTATCGCTTAATGAAAAAGTTATGGGTTTCAATATAAAAAATGGTTCAACTCTCCTCGGTCTCCCCTACTAATGATGGTGGAATTAAATCAAATATTTCAAATCAAGTAACCAGTTATATGAACTACCGCATAATAACACCTAATACATTAAAATATTTAATCCATGTTGATTTGTTTCTTGCAGCTTACAATTATTTGTTTTTTTTAATGTTTATAATGGAATGATAATTCCGTCTACTTTATAGAAACATAAATCCTTGATCGAAATACCGTGGCGGGATAGTAGTGAATGATAATAGGTGAATATGAAGACAGTTTAGTTATCTCATTGCAACGAATTCACCAGGAATTAATTAACCATGATGGATTATGACAGGGTATATTGCTAGCAATGGGGATTAATCTCCTCGTTACTAACAATCCTTTTATTCTCTGTAGTTACTTGTCATCTACTTATTCTAGATTGAGTTTCATTGGAGTCTTTTTATTTTGTAAGCTTGGTCTTAGGTACATAGGTAAAAGCATATTCAATATCGTTGTGATAGTTTAAGTGGATATAATTGTGGGTAAAAGTTAGTAATAAATAAACAACATCCATTGCTTACATATAACGCGCACTTTACATAGCTTATGTTTATGAAATAAATGTCTTAATTTTTTGAAAATGAATAAGTATCTAAATTATCTTTGGAGCAACGAATAAACCTAAGTTTCATTAGGTCGAGTATCAAGTCTATAGAGGGCGCTGTCCGGCGGAGGGCTCTTGTCTGTCTCCCACTTGAGCATTCAGCCTATTATCACCCACACAACCGCTGTTATTCTTCTGAGGTTGTTACTGAAACTTAGACCTTGTTCATTGGGTATTTAAAATGTTCTATTATTTGAAAGCGTTTGTAAGTAGAAACCCTTGTGTCTGGACCGTTGTCTTTTTTCTATTGAAATGTGTCTATTAAAAATGTGATGGTCTTATAGAAATGTAGGTAGATGTAAATAGAATTAATCATGCAACTCAAAATGCAATAAATATAGGTGAAGAATGAAAGGAAGATGGAGAGAGAGAGAGAGAAAGAGAGAAATATTTTGATTCAAGAAACTTAATCATTGTTAATGATGTGCGTTTGCGTTTTGATGATGAACGGATGATATGATGATGATGATGATGATGAATAAATACACATAGTATTTGAAGCGATTTAACTAGGGTAAATAAAAATAGATAATAATTTGAAGCGTTGATGTAATATAAATTTGATGTAATGAGTTGAAGTTTTGTTTTGCGAGTGGGTTACAATTTTGAAAACCTGAAAGGTCATGTAAATTTCTCCTGCGTTATGATTGGCGTTCTCGCGATGTCGTGATGAGCGGCTCTTGTGACTGGTTGATGTTGTGTGTGATTATCTATTAATAACTTAGCAGTCGTCCATTGGCTTTACCGCTGAAACCGCTTCATTATACGCAGGAGTGAATAATATTGATGGCATATTGTTAATGCTTTAACAATCATTTTTGAAATGTTATTTGTTATAATTCTACCGCCCATTCGGAATGCAATTTCAGCTAAGAACAGACAAGAAAACTAGCCGTTATCCACTTTTTCCAATACTTCAGTGTTATTATTATCTTTAATTTGTGCGAATATAAAGTATTAAGCATTACTATATTGTAAAAATTAATATATTAACATGTAAATAGCATCGGAAAAAAATTATAAATTAAATTAATTGCAGTGTCCAGAGCAGCCTAGTCTCAATACTAGTACAAGCAGCGACTTTTTACCTGTTAGACAGATGAGCCAGCCATCACTACGTTCAATCCTATTTTAGGCAGCTCGGCTTATCACGTCTTCACATGTCTGGACATTTTACTGAGCATGATTTACTCAAGACAGCCAACCACGGCGTAGCATATGCACAAAGCCGCAAAGTAAAATAAACTTGGAACTTTGAAAATTAATTTGTTTTATTTTAGTCAGGTCTTCATAAGACTGTCGAAGGAATGAGGGTATTGAGGAACATATATATATTTATATGTAGTATTTTAAAATAAAAAAATAACAAAGGAGTGTTGTTTTTTGTGGCACGGTCACGTAACGTCTATTTTTTTAAATACTCCATCTATAAAATCATGGCCGAGTTACTTACGGATCCAAGTGTGTACCGAGATGTGTATGCTCATGGTTCGTTCAATGTAAGTACCTACTTGGCTGACAATTTTCCGCGCTGCTGGTTCCAGCAACTACTATATTCTGATCGTTTAATTTTCTATAACGGAAAATACCATTGTGTAGTGACTAGTACGAGTATAAGTTAACATTATTTTTTTAATTGAATAAATCTTGCTTTCATCTTAATTATATTTCTGTTATGTCACCTAAGCTTATTTATGTTATGATAATAAATAAAAATTTGGTGACATTAAGATTCATTTTTTGTGGTCTTGAAGTTAGTATACGTACGAGCATGAATTTCAAGAAATATTAATCGATTTGATGAACCAGATGTTTAAATTATAGATTTTCCATGTTGTGATACTGTAAGAGTAGGTACCTACTCAGTAGGTATTTACATTACTAAGTTTGTGTATAATACCTAAACATAATATTGTACATAACAAAATTGAAAGTTCTACATCAAAACAATGCTGTTATTCTATCTTAATATTTCACTAATATTATAAATATGAAAGTTTGAAAAGATGTTGGAATGTTTGTTACTTCATCACACTTATAAGGCTGAATGGATTTGAATGAAATTATTTATATATGTAGAATAACATATAGAATACTTATTAACCTAATTAATGCGGGCAAAGCCGCAATTATAGATACGAATTCTTTATTAAAATTATTGAGTAAGGTATTCATTAACTAAGATTACTATTTAATACCCAGTAATATTACTAATAATACTTTTTAAAAAAATATACAAAAAAAATCGACTTATTTTTAATCCCTATTGGCATACCGGATAGGCGCTATCTGGTATGCCTAAGGAGATTAATTTATCTAGACCCAAACTAGGTGGATTTTTGACAACTGATAGAATAGACACAAATATATTTTATTCTGTAATAAATAAATATTGGTATGTTATAAGAATCGAAGCCGAACAAGCTATAGCTCTAAGGTTGTCAAAATTGTATTTATATATACTGCTGCTGGAATATTATATACATATATATGAAGGCAATGTGATTATAACTATTGAAATAATTAAATAAACGTATAATACCCGGAATGATATGTACCTGTTACCTTTTGGGTAGATTAATAAAAAGACATGTTTTACTATTTTTATTAGTGATATTAAAACAAAATTTAAAACATAAGCAACAAAACTTTCTCGTCTAAAATGAACAAAATTTTTAGCAATTTCAATACTCATAAATATTTATTCATTCTTAGGGCAGCTTAGGTACGTTTATTGTTATTTGAAATATTCATAGAAAATATAAACTTATGTTTTTAACCAACAGATAGAGAATCATAAAGACTAATAATCCCGGACGGTTTCCAAATTTGGAATTTGTTTTATTATTTCTTTTAACAATTGTTCATACCATTGATAATCGACGGTATCCCTTATCTGTTGTCCTTTTTTAGACTAATTGCCGGCTGCGTATTCGGTATTGTATAGAATACTTGATAGAAATAGAAATGAATCATATTTATATACATATTGTCTAAATGTTTTAAGCATTGTGTACATTGCCTAAGTATTTTATAAAATACTGAACTATACGGAATACTAGTAACATATTAATATTATCAGATTGCCTGACGATCACGTATTATTCATAATGACCAGACAATGTGACAATGACGTTTAAATAATAATTAATTACATGGCCTGATGTAGCTTGTCATTGTTCATAATGCTTGGTTGGTAAATATACACAAGTTATACTGCTGATGTCCTCATTTTAAAGCGGTTGTTACTCTTTCGTGTAATTACTGATAGGATTAGTATGTATGTTAATTTGGAACATGAATAATTTATATCTAAACATATAGGATTCATTGTATAATGATTCGCACAGGTGAAGCCGTGGGATATTGTTGCAAATTACTAAGATCTAGGGATCCCGTAGTAGTTTTTATATCCGTACAGTAGTTTTTGCGTTTTTAATAGTAGTAAGATATAAAAATATTATATTGTTTTATCGCATGGTATAAGTCATGGAAATTTTTAACATTTCTGAAAAATACTTTTGATGAAAACGAAGTAATTTAGGAAAAACAAAACAAATTGTCTATGAGGAAAAATATTTCGGTACCTCTGTATTCTGCATTAGTCCAATTAGAATCGAGACTTAACTGAAACGATCTCATTTATAAATAAAATGAATGGCGAATTGTATTGTAAAATACCCTCCCGTTAATTAATTCGGTTTTGCTGATATTATAATTTTTTATTATGTATTTAAGTATGAGTACATTAATATGTTATAATACTCGAATAAATTAAAATTCATTCTGTGTAAGTGTATTTATATATAATGATATAAATATAACAAGTAGGATCGGCAGCAATTATTTGTCCACTGTTGAATATAGGCCTCCCCCCATAGATTGCTATAAGAAACGGGCCATTTCTTATGGCAGTTTACCATTGGAGGATTTTGCTAGTAATTGCCATGCTTGTTGGTGAGTTGACAATCGCAGTTTGGCTTTAGGTGATATTTGCATGGTACTGCTTATGTCTATAGGCGACGGTTACCACTTTCCATCAGGTGGGCCGTCAGCTTGTTTATCATTCTAAGTTGTAAAAAAAAAAGAAATTAAGAGGGACGCTGCCGTCCATCTCTTGACCATTTGGTTATATATATTGTTTAAAAAAATATCAAAATAACATACAAAAAAATACAGTCGAATTAAGAATAGGCTTCTTTTTTAAATTGATTGATAAAGATCTTGGATTAATCAAAAGTGTTAATGTTTTCATTCGCGAGATAAACCCCATAACCCTTTGGATTGTGCGCAATGCAAAATCTTTAAACAAAGTTAGCCAGGCTATTTCTTCTTCAGGTTAGCGACAAGCAGTAACGGCATTTAATAAAAATATCTAGTTCTATGTCTAGTATAACATTATTTTTTTTCAATTGACAATCTCGATCTGTTTGTTTCACTACATAACAGCGCTACGACAATGCTACGGAAGTACTATTGTAGCATTTTGAAGTACTGTAGAATACAAATACCATTCGCTTTTATCATTCTATGATACCCAACGGTGCGGTGACGTCGAATAGACTCTTAATTCTAGAATGGATGTTTCATTTGAAGAGTGAGATATGATAGTGATATTATTGAGTAAAGAACTGTAAAGGCATTACTTTCATCATATCAGCTCTTAACCGTCTACTACTAAACATAAGCCTCTCTCTTGAGAGTTTTGCCAGTAGTTATCACGCTTGGCAAGCGGATTGGTAACCGCAGTCAGGCTTTAGAGATGTTTTAAGAAGGACGCTGCTGCCCATCCCTTTGCCGTCCTTTAGTCAACTTTTACGACACCCACGGTATAAATACAGTAAGGCGGTCTTATTGCTGAGAGCAATCTTTTCAAGACAACCTTAAGGTAATGGACTAATTGTTGTATAAAAAGGTTTGATAGTACTGTATAATTAAAAAAGCATCTTTTGCAAATTAAAAATATATAAAAATTAAATATATAGGTATATATACACATACATATATATACATATCAATCAATCAAAATTATATAATCCCATGCATATATGCAAAATATGTACCTAATACTAGGATATATATTAATAATTATAGCCACAAGGAAAACAAACTAATGTAATGCAATTTGAATGAACTTTGTTAACGCTTGTACTTTTTATTGGTTTTCTAAAAATTGTCTTTTGACAATTTTTTATTTTTTTTAATGATAAAAATTTGATGACTTATCCAATGGCAAGTGGCAACTTTCGCCAATAGACATGAACATACTATTCATATTTACATAATAGACATTGCTGTGATCTCATAGTATAGGTACTTACCGTGCGTTACCATTTGTGATAACTACGGTGCTATGTCTTATGCAATGAGCTTACGGCGATATTTTAGCCAGTTATAAAAATTAATATATTGATTACACGGAATTTATAAACGAAAATATTCCAGTTCATTTGAGGCGTGCTCGAGTGGACTGACGAGATCCGGCCCAAGTGCTAGAGTTTTGAATTAATGCTTTGGTGATCGTGATTACCTGCGCCAAGGAAACGGCCAGACAGTGCCGCAACGCGTTCGTGACTTAATTAAAGAGGACAAAAATTTCTTTTCATTTTGATCTTCCAATGAAACCGTTTCCTTGCGCCTCAAGAGTTTGTCAATTAGAATACCTCAGCATTTTGTGTTCGAAAGAAAATTGATGTTTTCTGCAATAAACCGATTTCAATAAAATACTATATTTTTTCTTAACATGTATTATTTATTCAACAAAAATCCTCTTTAATCTATAAGATAAACATTTTACCATTGAGAGTCATGGTAGAAAAGTCGTTTGCATGGGTACATTGTTTCCTGTCACATTTCGGTTGTAAAGTAGCTGTATGTTTTTATATATATATATATATATATATATATATATATATATATATATATATATATATATATATATATATATATATATATATATATATATATATATATATATATATATATATATATATATATATATATATAACATAGAATGGCAAACAAGCTGACGGTCCACCTGATGGAAAGTGGTAACCGTCGCCTATAGACATGACTAGTACCATGGACATAACAGAGTATACTGTTTCGCCCATGATACCCCCCATGCGTTGCCATTCCTGAGGACTCAGGTGTTATTCCTCTGTACCCAGTAAATTCACGCCATATCCCACCCTTCAAACCGAAACACAGCCATGCAGACACAACTGCTTCATGGTTGAAACACGAATGGGACAGAGGTACCCAAGCAATCGACTTTTGTACAAAGTCTCCCTCTGGTAAATGGCATTGAAATTACAGGG